GAAAAGACTCTATGTGGACACACAGGCCCTCACAAATCCCATGATAATATTGGTTTTATTGCTTACCCTTAAGGTAAAACGTTTATGAAAATGTGTTTGTAAGCTTGTCCCTATATTCTCTGTGACATTAAAAACATTATCAACAACCTTTTTCTGTTTGTTTCCCCAACAGGAGACAAGCGCTTCGAGTGCACCCAGTGTCAGAAACGCTTCATGAGGAGTGACCACCTGACGAAGCATTATAAGACTCACATTAACACCAAGAACCTGTGAGCTGCTGCCCAACGTTTACACAGACAAACTCTATGAAACTAAAGACTGTATTAGAGGACGGAGGGGCAGAGGAGACGATACCAAGGGAGTGTCTGTGACTTCTCCCGTTATGGGAAATACTCCAAAAAAAAGTCCCTATATCCCCTCTCACTCTGGACACTGTGTAGCGTGGTGTACAAAGAAAACCTTCCTAGTGGACTTCAAACGGATCCAGCAAACGTATGAATAATAGTTTTATGTATCTTCTTTTTCCTCGAGCTCCGACTGACCGTGCAAAAAATGATGGGGATTCAGACGCTTATTTGCTTATTTATAAACCTCTCTGGATGAAGATCATACATGTTATTATTCAGACCACAAGATTCTATATACAGTTTCCCTCTTTTTGTATTTTTTATTTCCCCCACTTGTTTTTTCACTTGTTTGTAGTGAGTAAGAGCTCTCAAAAATTGGCTTTAAAGCACCAAAAAAGGCAAAAATAATACAATTGTTTTGTACATTTCATAGAAATATGTGTTACCTCAATGAAATGGTAATTGTGTGTTTAAGTTATTTGTGTTTTAGCAGGAGTGTCTGCTGATTTAAAACCAGTAAATCCCCCTAAAAAACAGTTAAACACGAAAAATGAACTCCCCTTACAGACTTTTGGAAACCTTTAGAAGTTTTGGCTATTTTTTAAAGTGTGTGTATTCATACTAATAAACATAACATTATTAATGATAATAAACTAACAATTTTTTCATGCAATTGTTAGAAATTCATTCACAAATATGTAAACAAATCTTGACATCGAAAAAGAAATGAGACGCAGAAATACAAAGAGTATGTAAAGACAAGAACTCAGAACAAAACAGCAGAAATCTTTCAGTCTCGGGCTTAGAAAAAGTTTTCATATACAGTCGAGGGCCAGAAGTCACTGAGCCTTTAAAAAAAATATATATATATATTTCAAAATCAACTTAAAAAGAAACTCGCAAAATAGGGAAATCCGAGCAGTTTAGTAATATATTGGTGAACATCCAGCTGGAAATGATACATATTGTAGTCCAAATACAACATTAAGGACACATATCAATGTCAGAAAACGTTACAAAATAAATTAAATACATTTCGCTTAATCTGCAAGATTGAACATTACATTTCAAGTATTGACACTTTTGATGAAGATTAAGGAACATTTCGACTTAAAGAAAAGCTGGTTAAGGGGCTTAAGTCTTCTATTATGATTAGGTGTAATGTCACAAAGTGCAAACATATAATTAGAGAATGATGGAGGACCCAGGCTTGATCCTTGTGGAACACCAAATATGATTATACCAAATGTTGTGAGTGATTGGTCAGTATGTTAATGATTTAAAAGCAGGATGTCACCTATTACCAACTTCAAGGAAATTATACTCTCTTATTATTATTGGATTCATGTAGAGGAAACGGTTAAGTATCATGTTTTTTTAGGAGTTTGTCACTGAATCAATAACTTGATGTCCAAGGAGAGTCATTATTTCACATATAAATCAATGTAAACTACCTAAAAATGTCTTCTTTTTTTAGAGAAGTACCGCAAAAACGTTCATATTTCCGGAATACTTTTTAATTCCCTGTGTTGTCAAGGGGCTGAGTTTTAAACCCTGAAACAATAATTAAGTATGTGAACTAATAATAAAAAACTATCACAATAACTTGTATAATAAAGTTTGAGAAATACGGTCAAAGAGGTCTCTTAAGTCTCCAGGTGCTAAGGATTTAATTCAGTTCAATATGAGTTGGTTTTCCATCTTCGATATTACAAAAGGTACGCTTACGTCTAGGGCTGGGTATCGAAGTTGTCATTTATTGAGATTTCTAATATTTGGCCAAGTTCATTCTCTTAACTTGTTCTTTATCACATATTTCCTGATTTAAATCAAAAACATTGGGTGGTTTTAACACAGTTCTCTGTTAGGTTCTTGAATGGCTGCTTGTGTTTTTAGACTTTTTATTTTAACATTAACTCTCCTGTTATTAACCGGAAATGTTTTTTGTTTGTTTTTTATTCAAATGTTTCTACTTCATCTTGTTAGGTATCAAAAAAAGAATGATACCCAGCCCTACCTACACTATGTGTACTAATACATAACTAAAGTCCAGGGTAACTGCTATTCTGCTTCACTCATGGTATCATTTTGATTTGAGGATTTGTAGCCTATGCATTGCTGTATATACGATCAGTTTTACAATGATTTGGCCGAACTTGACAATCACTCGCCGAGATGAAAAAGTTATCTTTCTCAGGCCTTTGATTCGTTGCTTTATACATGCCTTTTTTTCCAGCTATGTGATAGCTTTAATTCTGAATTAACACTTTTTGTTGATATACAGATGACCAGCATTAGGCCTACTGTACAGTATTCACATCATTTACTTTAATGTCTCTTGCTTTACAGAAAACATTGTTGCTCATTTTATGAAATATTGAAGATTAACTGACATGTCATCAGACAGTTTGAAGTCAAATGTGTGCGGGGGTTCCTTTTGTTTAGATAAATACACCAAGCTATTGTAAAATAAGCTTTTTGGTCAAATTAGCACGGTGCCATCGGACAGCAGGTACCTCTGCTTTGAGTTTTCACTGTTTCAATACATGCTAAACAGCTTTGACCAAAAAGCTAAAGTCAGATTTATTTTAAAAGTACTTTGAAGCATTTTCCTCAAAGTGCTTCACAAGGGGCGACAGATCAACTTAAGCTTACATGCAGGTGGCCAATATTTGGTGTATTTTTTCAAGAATGTGTCTGAAGACATGCCATTGGGGGACGGATAGACAGAGCGTACTCATATTTATGTTTGTATTTCATGTCTGCATAATGTAAATACAGTGTGTGTCTGGTAGACACCGTAAATGTAGGATATTAAAACCCAAAAGTTAAGCTGCCTAGTGTTGTGGTCGGCGTGGCCGGCCTGAAGGAAACAGACTTTGTACAGTGTGTAAGGAATAAAATATAATGTGACATTGTATAGCTTCATTCCTGCTTTGTATAGGAGATCTTTTTTCTATTGAATTAAAGATGCCTTAGACAGCTGCTCCCAGTATTCAAAAATGTTTTTTCCTTGTCTAATTCCAGGTAACAACATTTGTACAATTATTTTATGTCTTTTAACTTCTGTTACATGCTAATGTAATGTGCACTAATTTAAAATCCCAGGTTCCTAAATTTGTAAATTTGATCTTCATTGTAATTTAGTTTAATGAGATTTTTCCAAATTGAGACATTTCTATTGGTTGGTTTCGGTGAATGAAATGCGTCTCCTTCTCCAAGCCTGTATGTTGTACATTGTTCTGCAGCCATGTGTTTTGTTTGTTTGGAGAACCCAGAGAACCAGCAATTCCTTTTTTGTTACTTCTGTAAAGTTGCGGAAAATAAAGTTTGCTCCTTTTCTACAGTCACCTCCCTTAATAAAGAACTCCAACTATTTCTGCTGCTGCTTTCATTTGTTCCTAGTAGTCCCATTTTAGCATAAATGGGGCGAAGCCTGCGAGCTAGTTCAGGCAGTCAACTCGATACATTAACACGTGACGCGCCTCGTCCCTCTTACAACCAACCAAACACATTCTCCTAAACATGCCGCTCTATTTAAGCTGCCAGGTCTTCCTGCCTCTGCCTCGCTCATGCTGCTGCTGCCACTGCTGTGTTCACTTGCTATTGCTGCGTTCATGTTCATGTTCCTGCTGCTGTGTTTCACGTAGCTGCTGCTCGCCTGCCCCAGCTTCCACCCCAGCTTCCACCCCAGCTTCCACCCCAGCTTCCACCCCAGCTTCCACCCCAGCTTCCACCCCAGCTTCCACCCCAGCACCACCTGTAGGCTCAGGGGATAGTTATCTAATCCTCACTCAATGTTCTATGTACATCTGTGGAGTGATGATCAGCTCATTTTCAGACAGGTTTTTATATAAATGGATCAGGACAAAAAGAGAGAATATTTGTTCCTGAAACTTTCAGAATCTCTTTACACAGAGGGGACACATGTTGATGTAGAAAAGACATGAAAAAGTGGATTTTGCATAATAGGTGACCTTTAAACAAAAAACCCTTTGTATGAAATCATGCAGTGCTATATAACTCATCTACTGAGTATTACACAAAGTATCTTAAATTATCTTAAAAGTAATACAACTACAATATCTATATTCTATAATATTACAACCATTGAGCGTAATGCATACTTTTACTTTTGATACTTTAAGTATATACTTTTAAGATATTACCCATGTACGTTAACTCAAAATAAGATAATCTATTGGTCTCACAACAGCAAATAGGATAGTGAAGCATCAGTCGAAAAAGCAAAGAAAAATACATGTATTAAATTAACAGCACATACATTTTTTGACAGAAGTACACACACACTGAACTGTTGAAGTCACATCATTTTACATATTGATATTGCACAGTTTAGTTAGGAATTAGTGCATTTTTGGTTTTGGTTTGTGCACTTTTTTCAATGGATTTTCACTGCTGGACTTTAACTAATGATAAAGCAATTTTAAGAACATGGTGTTTATACTTTTGCAGCACATAAATACATACAATAACAAGTACTGATGCTGCTTACATTTGCAAAAAAAAAACTTCTATTTTGAAAATCCCATAGACTGCGTCATCAGAAGGGACAGAAGTGTTTCCTGTTAGCTAGATGACAGCCGGTAATATGTAAGGTTTCTTATCTTAATTATAGTGCATCGATAGTGTATTTAAGTTATATTAAGTAGTGGTTAGATTCGTTAGTGTTTTATGTAAATATTGTGTGTGTTAGCATTACAGTGTCGCTTAAACAGGGTGATAATCTGTATGCTGAGCTAACTGTTAGCTAGCTAGCCTCATTTGTTTACATGTGTAGATTCATCTTTCATTCATGAAACACCTCCATCTTTCTGTCGTTTTTACACGTTTTTCTGTTACTGAAGTGGTTGAAGACCAATGCTGAATCACATGTATGATGGGAAACTATTAACACATATAAGTAAAGTATGATTTAGTGTGTTATCTTACTTTGTAACCCTGGCTTTTTCTAGAAAAGTGTTACATGTCAATGGTTTCTTGTATTTGTAGAACATCCAGTTTGGGCTAGTTGGACAATACTGTTTTTTTAAAGCAAATAAGCCATTTAGAATAATTTCAGTTAATGTATACTACTGTTTCCAAAGTTTGGTCTGTCATGCTTTCAAGTTGTAGAAATTCCTCTCTCCTTCTAGATATTATCTTGTATAAAGGGTTAAATATGTACCCAAACCTGACGCATGTGGTGCTTTAGAATCAAACCATAATATCCAAACTGTTACTCACATATGGCCTCTGTCCGTCTGTCTGTCTGTCTATCTATCTATTTATCCATCCATCTATCTCCCCCTTACAGTTAACTCGTATTGTTTTTTCTCTCCAGATATTTTAAAATGACAGCAGTTAAATAGTTTTAGGGATGGGGCTCTTTGGTCCTGCGGAGCTGGTCTCAGGTCTGTGTCGTACAGACGAGCAGAACCCCTTCCCCGTGTTTCAGGATGGAAACATCAGCCCCTGCTTCAACCAACTGGTCCTGGGAGCGCTGCCTCATGCAGGGATGGCCATTTTCAGCGCCTGCTACCTCAGCATGCAGAGGTACGTCTAATATCTGCAGAGATGGCAAAAGTACACACATCCTTTACTCAAGTAGAAGTACAGATACTCGTGTTTAAAAAATACTCTGGTAAAAGTAGAAGTACTGACTAAACTTCTTTACTCAAGTAAAAGTAAAGAAGTATGGGCTTTGAAATGTACTTACTTATGTTATGAAAATGTCACACATGAGGTCACAGGCTCCTCCAACAGTGCAACACATAAAACGAAAATAGAATATAATAGAAATAGTGCAGAATAGTCTATATACAAGTAATTGGAATATTGATATATATATAAGTTGCAAACAGATGAATGTTACAGATGTTCTTTCAAGAGTTCAGGTGTTTAACATAATGGCCACTATGGACAAATATTATATTTATTTGTTATATATTTCAGTATTTATGTTCCTGTTTTGTAGACACGCCCCCCCCCAGACGCCCGCTCCCTGCAGCTGGACCCTCCGGTGTTTCTCTGCTCTTCTGGTGGCGCTGCTCTTCTCTTCAGATTTGCTCCTGGTGGTCCTCCTGCAGCGGGACCTCCTCCTCCTGGACCTCCTCTCTGACGGCTGCTCCATCCTGGCCTGGCTGGTCCACTTCAGTGCCCTCATGGTGCTCCAGAGGACCTCTTTCAGGAGAACCAGAGGACCTCCACTGCTGCTCCTGCTGGTCCTTCTCTCCATCCCAAACCTGGTCGTCACCTTGATCAATTCCTGTGACAATCGGGAGTATCTAAACCTCTCGGAGCCGCTTGTATTTGCACGTTTTGTTCTCGTTTCCGCCCGGACGCTGCCTCTTCTGGTTTATCTTTTAGCGTTTGCTTTCCCCTGCATCAGTGAGGCTGGATACTCTTTGAATATCAACGCTGACGATGGATCCCCTCTCATCACGGAGGATAACGAGCAGGATACGGGTGAGTTGGGTTTTTCTACGATCTAAGGCAGGAGAAAGGAATCCAGGAAGCTTCTCGTCAAGTTAACTGCGTTTATTAATACAATGATACGGTTTACAAGGGAACACAGCTGTGGTTCCTCTCATTCAATTCACTGATCCACAGTCCACATAAGCAGTTAGCTGTTTACCAGTTGCCTGAATGAAAAGAGAACGTTTCTCTATTTAACATCTTATTTATATGTTCCCACTCTCGTATTTAGTCTTCTTCCTATTGGCTGACGTCAACGGGGGCGGGTCCTGCTTCGTCATCTTCTTTCGCCCTCTGATGACGTAGCCATAGCGCATCTCTTATGATATTTTATTATACAATTCTTCTAATGTTTGTTGGTTATTAAACACATCATAATAGTAGTAATGCAGCGTCGATGAGTGAGAGTTGGAGACGCTGTGTTTAGTATGTAACTGCATGCGTCATTCTCCTTATATTCACATACACGATTGTTAGGAAAAATATCACTGGTCACCGGCTTGAGCTTCAATCTCAGGATCCATGTATCTCTGATCCTCTCCAGAATGGAAGTAGTCATCACATCCAGAGCATCAACTAGTTCCTGAACAGTGTCCTTCACATGCTGATATACAAGAGAGGGAGTTACACAGTCCCAAGATGGAGGAATAGAAAGCAGTATTCAATGTTTACTTCAGATTAGCTCCACGTCAGAAATGATCATGCTTGTCATATGTCTATCTCCATAGAGGCTGAATCATCATGTTAATCACATAGCTATCATATGCCTCAAACAGTCCTGATGCTCTTCTAGGTAATCATACATCCTGTCATGTACACAGCTACAGTTGGGATACCTTTGTTATCATGTTACCCTCATATTGGAAGAGTACATTCAGTATTCTCCCAACACACTGCTACAGTAAATGATGTCCCTTAAAGTTCCGGCACAATATATTGATTGTTTCTCCCAGGTGACATGGTGGCGGAGGATGGGAGCGGCTGTGTTTCCTGGCTCTTCTTCCTCTGGTTGAACCCTCTCTTCAGACGGGGGGAACGAGGGGATCTGTGCAACCCAGCAGATGTTTATCACCTCCCCAGGAAGCTTCGAACTGCTGTGGTTTGTCGAAACTTCCACCAGTGCTGGGAGTCCTGCAGACGCGGAGCAGAGGTTGGTGACGGAGAGGAGCAGTGGCCCCCGCCGCTCAGCAGGAACCTGCTCAACGGCACCTGGAGCTCAAACTACCAGGTAGGGCTGCAGCTCACATACTTATTTATTTATACAACAAGCAGTATTATTATCCACTGTACAGTATTTAATATGATTCTGTCCTCTCTCCTCAGGACGAGCCCTTGGAGCTGCAGGGAGACGTCCGCCTGCTGAAGGTTCTTCACAAAGCCTTCGGGCTGCGTTTCTACCTGCTGGGCGTCCTGAAGTTCGTGGTCAACATGCTGAGTTTCACCGGCCCGCTGCTCCTCGGCAGCCTCGTGAACTTCATGGAGGACGAGGAGGCTCCCATCAGTTTGGGGGTCTGGTGCTCTGTGGGACTCTTCATCACCACGCTCCTCACCTCCTTCCTCAGAAACATCTTCGTCTTCGAGGTGTCTAAGGTACAGTAAAATACATGTACAAGCTATAATAACAGTAAAGGTAGATATATATATATATATATGTATATATTCTATACAATAGCATCAAATTAGATCAAAACTCAAATACAACAAAGATAGTAGTGATAGTAATAATGATATCAACAGCCATAAAACATTAATAAATAAAGTCCTTCATTCAAGCACTTCATATTTGAGAGGATGCATGTATATGTATTTCTTGTTTATCTTTTGTAATTTGAGCTTAAAATAATATTGATTTGTTTTTCATGGTGACATATTTACATTTCCAGTGAAATGAACTTTATAAAATGTACTTTGATCCCCTAATGTTGACTGGCTAGATGCCCACCAGGGACCTTTGTTGTTGCTTAATCCCCTTATCCCTTATTAGGATTAAACTGCGGCAAAAATGCCCAAGAAATACTTAAATTAAGAAATATTGAGCATCAACAATCTGAAGTTTGTGTATAGAAAGTAAATATCTGCCAATATGTATTTATCAGAATTTTAAATACTCAATAGTTATCTCAATAACATCTTCGTCTTCGACGTGTCTAAGGTACACAGGTGGGAAGTAGTGGAGTACAAATACTTTGTTATTCTACTTAAGTACATGTTTCTGGTATCAGTACTTTACTCCACTACTTATTTTCTGACGACTTTTTACTTTCTACTTCTTACATTTTGAACCCAAATACCTGTACTTTCTACTTCTTACATGTTGAACACAAATACCTGTACTTTCTACTTCTTACATTTTGAACACAAATACCTGTACTTTCTACTTCTTACATTTTGAACACAAATACCTGTACTTTCTACTTCTTACATGTTGAACCCAAATACCTGTACTTTCTACTTCTTACATGTTGAACACAAATACCTGTACTTTCTACTTCTTACATGTTGAACCCAAATACCTGTACTTTCTACTTCTTACATGTTGAACCCAAATACCTGTACTTTCTACTTCTTACATGTTGAACCCTAATACCTGTACTTTCTACTTCTTACATGTTGAACCCAAATACCTGTACTTTCTACTTCTTACATGTTGAACCCAAATACCTGTACTTTCTACTTCTTACATGTTGAACCCAAATACCTGTACTTTCTACTTCTTACATGTTGAACACAAATACCTGTACTTTCTACTTCTTACATGTTGAACACAAATACCTGTACTTTCTACTTCTTACATGTTGAACACAAATACCTGTACTTTCTACTTCTTACATGTTGAACACAAATACCTGTACTTTCTACTTCTTACATGTTGAACACAAATACCTGTACTTTCTACTTCTTACATGTTGAACACAAATACCTGTACTTTCTACTTCTTACATGTTGAACCCAAATACCTGTACTTTCTACTTCTTACATGTTGAACCCAAATACCTGTACTTTCTACTTCTTACATGTTGAACCCAAATACCTGTACTTTCTACTTCTTACATGTTGAACCCAAATACCTGTACTTTCTACTTCTTACATTTTGAACACAAATACCTGTACTTTCTACTTCTTACATGTTGAACACAAATACCTGTACTTTCTACTTCTTACATGTTGAACCCTAATACCTGTACTTTCTACTTCTTACATGTTGAACCCAAATACCTGTACTTTCTACTTCTTACATGTTGAACCCAAATACCTGTACTTTCTACTTCTTACATGTTGAACACAAATACCTGTACTTTCTACTTCTTACATGTTGAACCCAAATACCTGTACTTTCTACTTCTTACATGTTGAACCCAAATACCTGTACTTTCTACTTCTTACATGTTGAACCCTAATACCTGTACTTTCTACTTCTTACATGTTGAACCCAAATACCTGTACTTTCTACTTCTTACATGTTGAACCCAAATACCTGTACTTTCTACTTCTTACATGTTGAACCCAAATACCTGTACTTTCTACTTCTTACATGTTGAACACAAATACCTGTACTTTCTACTTCTTACATGTTGAACACAAATACCTGTACTTTCTACTTCTTACATGTTGAACACAAATACCTGTACTTTCTACTTCTTACATGTTGAACACAAATACCTGTACTTTCTACTTCTTACATGTTGAACACAAATACCTGTACTTTCTACTTCTTACATGTTGAACACAAATACCTGTACTTTCTACTTCTTACATGTTGAACCCAAATACCTGTACTTTCTACTTCTTACATGTTGAACCCAAATACCTGTACTTTCTACTTCTTACATGTTGAACCCAAATACCTGTACTTTCTACTTCTTACATGTTGAACCCAAATACCTGTACTTTCTACTTCTTACATTTTGAACACAAATACCTGTACTTTCTACTTCTTACATGTTGAACCCTAATACCTGTACTTTCTACTTCTTACATGTTGAACCCTAATACCTGTACTTTCTACTTCTTACATGTTGAACCCTAATACCTGTACTTTCTACTTCTTACATGTTGAACACAAATACCTGTACTTTCTACTTCTTACATGTTGAACCCTAATACCTGTACTTTCTACTTCTTACATGTTGAACCCAAATACCTGTACTTTCTACTTCTTACATGTTGAACCCAAATACCTGAACTTTCTACTTCTTACATTTTCCAAACAGGCTGGTTCCTTTAGTTTGAATGTGTGTTTGGTGGCGTGATCATTATTATTTAGAGTTATTGCGTGCCTATTGATTTGAACACGATCCGTGTATCCATCATTTCCTGGTCTTCTCTAAAGAAGAGGGACCAATGAAAACGTTGTCATGTTGCCGTTGTTCAGCATGGAAACATTCATTAGCTAACAATGACATTATTGTTCTATTAATATAAAGGGAGGTCAGGTACTCTTTAAAACAGCTGCTAGTTATGGGTACTTTTTACTGAAGTACATTTCAAAGCCCTCTTTACTTTTACTTGAGGAAAGAAGTTTAGTCAGTTCTTCTACTTTCACCAGAGTATTTGTAAACACGAGTATCTGTACTTCTACTTGAGTAAAGGATGTGTGTACTCTCTCTGCTCAGGTGTCTCTTTCGGCCCGCGCTGCTCTCATGTCGGCGGTTTACGGTAAATCTCTTCGGATCAGAGGCAGCAGTTTGGCCGGAGCCACGCTGGGGGAAGTGGTGAATCTGATGAGCACCGACACCGGACGCGTGGTCAACTTCTTCTTCAGTTTCCACGAGTTGTGGAGCCTCCCCTTCAGGCTGATCATCACCTTGTACCTGCTGTACCTCCAGGTGGGGGTGGCGTTCCTCGGGGGGCTCAGCGTGGTTCTGATGCTCGTGCCTTTCAACAAGTTCCTCGCCTCAAGAATCCTCAGAAACAACCAACACATGCTCCGACACAAGGACACGCGCGTGAAGGTGGGATGGGATTTTTTTAATTAGTGCTGTGGTAGGAGAAGTAGTAGTTTTTATATGTATTTTTTTAACAAGAGAATAATAACTAATATTAATGCATTTAATTATTTCTTGTGATTCTTTTTAAATTTGAGCTTAAAATAATATGAATTTGTTTTTCATGGTGACATATATTGATTTCCAGTGAAATGAACTTTATAAAATGTACTTTGATCTCCTAATGTTGACTGGCTAGATGCCCACCAGGGACCTTTGTTGTTGCTTAATCCCCTTATCCCTTATTAGGATTAAACTGTGGCAAAAAAGCCCAAGAAATACTTAAAATTAAGATAAATTGAGCATCAACAATGTCAAGTTTGTGTATAAAAAGGAAATATCTGCCAATATGTATTTATCAATAGTTATCTCATCCTTTAGGGATCCGAATGTTAATGCAATTGTATCAAAATAAACAGACAATTGTTATTATATAATCACATTTTTCAACACTTAATACCTTTCACCTTTTTAAAGTGGTTTAATTTAAATTGTACAATTGAAATATTAAACCCTCATAGTACAAATAAAAGCTTATTTGAGATAATAAAGGATTTTCTTTTGGCAGGATTCTAGCAGTTTTTGCCCCAGAAAGATGTCGAGATCCACAATATTCTCCTAACAATGTGTCTTTCTTCTCTCCCAGTTAATGACGGAGGTCCTCTTCGGCATTCGGGTCATCAAGTTCTACAACTGGGAGCCTCATTTCACGCAGAAGATCAACGCCTGCCGTGAAGAGGAGCTGTCGCACCTGAAGGCTCTGAAGTACCTGGACGCCATGTGTGTTTACACCTGGGCGGCTCTACCTGTGGTTATCTCCATCCTCACCTTCCTCACCTACACCCTGCTGGGGCACCAGCTCACTGCCGCCAAGGTGGGACACTCTACTCTTTAAACTGTTTTGATGCATACAGTAGGGCTGTGCAATTAATCGTATTTTAATCGCAATTACGATTTTGGCCTGCCACAATTACGAAAACAACATAATCGAAAAAAACTATTATTTTGCTTTGCTAGGTTGTGACAGTGCAACATATTTGATCTAATTAATTTTGGTCTCATTTATTTGTATTTATCATATTTATATATGTTTAGTAGCTTGTGGAAGTGCGCTCCAAAATATTTGTTGATCTTGTTTATTGGTATTTATTATTTTGATATTATTTATTTAAATGTATCATTTATTTTTGTATTGGTTTTTCAGTTGAATTATACGTTCAGGGTAATCAACAGTTAAAAAGATACTGTTCAAATTATTATTTGTATTTGTTTTAAAGTTCAATAAATGGATGTTTTCAAAGTCAATGAATAATCGTATTTAATAATCGTGATATCAATTATTGACCCAAATAATCGTGATTATGATTTTTGCCATAATCGCACAGCCCTAGCATACAGTGAAGTTAACCGGGCTTTCTACACATTTAGGACGATTTAGATACTTGAGCAGGGAGTGAATCAATCAATCAATCAACAACTTTATTAATCCCGCAAGGGGCAATTGGTTATCAGCAGCAGCTTATGTCATGCACACAGGCAGGAACATACAAGAAGAAAACACACACAGATACACCCGGGAGCACCTGGGATACATCCAATTTACACTATAAATAGTTCATAGCATCACAATAATAAATAAATAAATAAATAATCAAGTTAAAAGCCTTTCAATAATTTAAAAGTTTGAGTGCAGAAGGGATGAATGATTTTGAAAAGCGATTAGTCCTTTGATCAGGTCGAGCATATCTTCGCCCTGATGGCAACAGACGGAATTCATGTGAAAGTCCATGACCTGGAGAGTTCAGGATGCTCTCTGCTTTGGGAGTGTTCACCTTGAAACAGCTTTTAAGGTCCAGTTTGTTGGATTCTTTGGGATTATTCAATCAGAAATAGGATATAATATTCATGATTTCATGAGTAAATAATCATTAAAACTAGGGCTGTGCGATTATGACAAAAATCATAATGACGATTATTTTGGTCAATAATTGATATCACGATTATTAAATACGATTATTCATTGACTTTGAAAACATCCATTTATTGAACTTTTAAATACAAATAATAATTTGAACAGTATCTTTTTAACTGTTGATTACCCTGAACGTATAATTCAACTGAAAAACCAATACAAAAAAAAATAAAAAAAATGATACATTTAAATAAATAATATCAAAAATAATAAATACCAATAAACAAGATCAACAAATATTTTGGAGCGCACTTCAACAAGCTACTAAACATATATAAATATGATAAATACAAATACATTTGATCAAATATGTTGCAGTGCACGGTCACAACCTAGCAAAGCAAAATAATCATTTTTTTCGATTATGTTGTTTTCGTAATTGTGGCAGGCCAAAATCGTAATTGCGATTAAAATACGATTAATTGCACAGCCCTAATTAAAACTAAGATAAAATAAGATATACTTTATTGATTCAAAATTGGAAAATGTTTTTGTCACAGCAGCATAGATAAGACATTACACATGAATTAGAAGTAAATACAAAAACAATGAAGATATACACATCAACAGTAGAAGTTAAACAAATTACGCAAAACAGTGAATATATACATATCAATAATGAAGGATATATATATTTAGAGCATATAGAATAACATTTGAATGGCCTTAATAACATTGTGAACTCTTGGGTAGTTAAGGTGGAGGCTTCAAATAGTGCTTTTTTTTCTGCCTCTCCCTGCACTGTATATATTTTTTTGTATTTTAATCGTACAAATAAACCCTAAAGCAGTTAAACGTCCTCTCCCTGCAGGTGTTCACCACGCTGGCTCTGGTGGGGATGTTGATCATTCCCCTCAACTCCTTCCCCTGGGTGCTGAACGGCATCCTGGAGGCCAAGGTGTCTCTGGAGAGGATCCAGCGCTTCTTCAAACTGACCAACCAGGACCTGCAGGCGTACTACGCTCTGGGTGCGCTGCGTCTCAACCTCTGTGCTGCTGGGTTACCTCAAACAGATCACAATGTAGTATTTATTTAGTCCCTTTTTGATCAGAGTCTGTGACGAAAAAGAGCTGGTTGCTTAACGTTTTAAAAAGTGCACAAACTCTCTGTTAGTTTTTTCAAAATGCAAAAGAATGGATATTGAGCAACCTGACTCGTCAACTTAAACTGTATTTTGAGCTCAAATTAATTAAACTAATACATGAATTAGTTATATTTTGGTTGTACTGATAAATGTGCTAGTATTTATAGTTTATAATGTGTACGTGAACATGTCTGTATAAATGTCAGTGTGAAAGAGACTATGTTATGTTTTCAGTTTAGATGAATGATGTGTACCAGGGACTGCAGATGGAAATTAGTTAATGGAATAATTTGGCATATCTCATCTCTATAATTGTGTTTTAATCATAGACTGGTTATATAGGTTTTAATTAATACATGATAATAATAGTCACTTAAAGGTAGGGTAGGTAAGTTTGAGAAACCGGCTCGAGATCGCTAGAATTTGAAAATACACAACCGGAGAAAATCTGCCACTTCCTTACAGAGCCCCTCCTCCAACACACACGAACGCGCACATGACCAATGAGGGCACGAGATAAGTTTGTGCACAGATGGAAGGCTGACAGGCAGGTAGGCCATCCAGTTATTTTAGCCGGGCCGGCTCAAATGATTGGTCGTACTTTTTACAGTACTACGGCTTCCACAGATTACATTTTTTTATGGATTTTTTGTCAAAGCACTTAAGATATTCATTGCTATCGGGATGTTAAGAGCATTCCATGGAATATAACAAAAAGTGTATCTCGAGCCGGTTTCTCAAACTTACCTACCCCACCTTTAAGTCACTTTAGGCAGTTTTCAGGAAGTTTCACATTAGTTCATCCCTTTTGATTGATCATTTTATGGATCACCAACACCAGAATTGACGCAGTAATGTGGTTATTTTAAAGCTGTATGAAGTAATGCTCCTGGAAAAAACAAATTTGAAAGTTACAAACTTCTGCAGGTGCTGATTTAAACCCTTTATCCATTATGTGTTTGTAGATCAGAGTCAAAACTAATCAGTCTTTCAAAAATATATAAGTTGTTATTATTACAATTACCTATCACTATATATAATAAAATGTACTTCCACATCTGTCGTAGTGTCTCCTGAAGACGGTCAGACGTCCATCCTGATGAGCCAGGGGACTTTTTCCTGGCAGGATCCCGACGGTCCGGACCAGAACGAAGACAGAGGAACTGATCCTGGAGAGTCCAAAGGAAGTCTGCGTCTGCACAGCCTCTCTCTGCACATCACCAAGGTTCACACGCACGCACGCACTCACACACACACACACATTTGATTTATTCCACAAATATATAACATACATGGAGATGTACATAAAAATCACACCCACCTCAGTTTACAGTCCACTCAAATCTACACGTTATTGCTCACATACACACACATGCACACATTACCCCTTTCCTTCGAAGGCAAATTATACATAAATACAGACATTCATTTAAATTCTCTGACCTTTCCCTGGGTAGTCGGTACAGACCACACACACACACACACACACACACACACACACACACACACACACACACACACACACACACACACACCCCTGTTCAGACACACAGGATACAGTCACTGGACTGCCTTCATGCTGACAGCTCTTAAAGATCTCCTATTATGCTATTTTTAGGCATATATTATGGGTCAAAGATATATACAAATATATAAAAACATGTCTATGATGTGTTTTGCTCAAAATACCAAACAGATCATGCATTTTAGAAATCCCTCATATCCCTCTATTCCAGCCCTGTTAGAGAAGTACGGATTCTGGGTCCGCAGCTTTAATTAAAAATATATATACTCAGCTAAATGCTGCCGTGACTAAATGTCATCAAGGATTATTTCTGAAACAGTATGGAGCTCAAATGCTTTTTCTCTCTCAGGTTATACCACAAGGTGAGTTCCTTTTGTTATTTCTTGCTTCTTTACACATACTCTCTCCAGTACAGGTTAGCTCTGAGTGTTAGCGATGCTAATGTAAACAAAGACCATATTACGTCCAAAACACATCAGGCATTGATTCTGATAGCAACGTCTCTGATAGTGCCGTGGGTGTAAAGCCAGCCCACATTGCATGCTGATATTACGTTATATCGGACGCAAATCTGGATCAGCTCCGTTGTTCCCCCGTTTTTAGAGATTTGGGTACGGAGGAAAAGAGAGAGGGTTTTATTTTCTGACACTTTGTGAGTTCGCCGACACACCGGGGACACATCTTTATGTATAAAATACATCATTTTGCATGATAGGAGACCTTTCACTTAGCACACCCGATACATCAGAGGAGTTAATGAGTCTGATTATATCATAGATATCATTGTGTCTTCAGGGGTCTCTGGTGGTTGTGGTGGGGAAGGTCGGCTGTGGGAAGAGTTCCTTACTGGCTGCTCTGACCGGAGAACTGAACAGGTAAACTGCCCCCAGTACACAATAATATTAACACTAAAACATCATATTTAATATTAACAAACTGTATTTTATTGCGCAGTAAATACTTTTACTTTAAAGGTCCTATATTCTGCTCATTTTCAGGTGTATATCATTATGTAGTGTCTCTACTTTAAAGAGTCCTCTCCTGCTGATGTTCAGGTGTATATCAGTATGTAGTGTCTCTACTTTAAAGAGTCCTCTCCTCCTGATGTTCAGGTGTATATCAGTATGTAGTGTCTCTACTTTAAAGAGTCCTCTCCTCCTGATGTTCAGGTGTATATCAGTATGTAGAGTCTCTACTTTAAAGAGTCCTCTCCTGCTGATGTTCAGGTGTATATCAGTATGTAGTGTCTCTCCTTTAAAGAGTCCTCTCCTGCTGATGTTCAGGTGTATATCAGTATGTAGTGTCTCTCCTTTAAAGAGTCCTCTCCTGCTGATGTTCAGGTGTATATCAGTATGTAGTGTCTCTACTTTAAAGAGTTCTCTCCTGCTGATGTTCAGGTGTATATCAGTATGTAGTGTCTCTACTTTAAAGAGTCCTCTCCTGCTGATGTTCAGGTGTATATCAGTATGTAGTGTCTCTACTTTAAAGAGTCCTCTCCTGCTGATGTTCAGGTGTATATCAGTATGTAGTGTCTCTACTTTAAAGAGTCCTCTCCTGCTGATGCTCAGGTGTATATCAGTCTGTAGTGTCTTTACTTTAAAGAGTCCTCTCCTGCTGATGTTCAGGTGTATATCAGTATGTAGTGTCTCTACTTTAAAGAGTCCTCTCCTGCTGATGTTCAGGTGTATATCAGTATGTAGTGTCTCTACTTTAAAGAGTCCTCTCCTGTTGATGTTCAGGTGTATATCAGTCTGTAGTGTCTCTACTTTAAAGAGTCCTCTCCTGCTGATGTTCAGGTGTATATCAGTATGTAGTGTCTCTACTTTAAAGAGTCCTCTCCTGCTGATGTTCAGGTGTATATCAGTATGTAGTGTCTCTACTTTAAAGAGTCCTCTCCTGCTGATGTTCAGGTGTATATCAGTATGTAGTGTCTCTACTTTAAAGAGTCCTCTCCTGCTGATGTTCAGGTGTATATCAGTATGTAGTGTCTCTACTTGAAAGAGTCCTCTCCTGCTGATGTTCAGGTGTATATCAGTATGTAGTGTCTCTACTTTAAAGAGTCCTCTCCTGCTGATGTTCAGGTGTATATCAGTATGTAGTGTCTCTACTTTAAAGAGTCCTCTCCTGCTGATGTTCAGGTGTATATCAGTATTTAGTGTCTCTACTTTAAAGAGTCCTCTCCTGCTGATGTTCAGGTGTATATCAGTATGTAGTGTCTCTACTTTAAAGAGTCCTCTCCTGCTGATGTTCAGGTGTATATCAGTATGTAGTGTCTCTACTTTAAAGAGTCCTCTCCTGCTGATGTTCAGGTGTATATCAGTATGTAGTGTCTCTACTTTAAAGAGTCCTCTCCTGCTGATGCTCAGGTGTATATCAGTATGTAGTGTCTCTACTTTAAAGAGTCCTCTCCTGCTGATGCTCAGGTGTATATCAGTATGTAGTGTCTCTACTTTAAAGAGTCCTCTCCTGCTGATGCTGCAGCACCTCTGGAGTTATGAGATTCTACCAGATGAGACTTTTAATGATTATTTAGGGAAGTTATTGAATATCATACAACTTCACAAATGAATTTAAAGTGATGTACTTACATTTTTTGCACACAATTTCTACTTAAGATAATACTTTTTATCCCGTCTGTAGTGGGAACTAGAATTATTTTGTCCTTCATAGAAACCAATTTAATAGATTTAATAGAAATAATCAATGTTTTAGATCTTAGAACGGCATTTAGAGTCAACACTCTACACTTTTTACATTGGCTTTTGTCTCTACTTGAGATGTGTGATCTGTTCTCATGTGTGTTCCTTTCAGGACTCCACGTGGTCTGTGCTTTGTTTTTATGTTAACCTTAATGTCTGCCTCATGTTGTATTCATGTTTCTGTGCTCTTCATTTGAACTTTTGTTCTTTCTTGTGAAGCACTTTGTGAATTGTATTCCTGTGAAAGGTGCTCTACTAAATAAACATATTATTATTATTATTATTATTCTCCCGCCCCTCAGGCTGAGTGGCGTGGTGTTCGTTGCAGACCGAGAGAGAGGCTTCGGTCTGGCGTCTCAGGATCCGTGGATCCAGCATGCATCGGTGCGGGACAACATCCTGTTCGGCAGGAACTACGATCCCATCTTCTACCAGACTGTGATCGAGGCCTGCGCTCTCACAGAGGACTTCAACGTAAGATGACTGCATCAATTCAAATACATTCAATTGTTTCTGCATAATTAACATTTATATTAAACTCTTTCTAAATGTGTCCTCAGGTTTTACCAAACGGAGACAGGACGGAGGTCGGGGAGAACGGAGTGACGCTGAGCGGAGGACAGAAAGCTCGTCTGGCCCTCGCTAGAGCCGTGTACATGGTGAGTCTCTACACACACCTAACATAGGATTTAAACACACACACAGGGATCAGGTTTCACCAAACACACAAGTCTTAGGGTGCGTTTCACTTCGGTTAAATGGATTCCTTGCGTCCCTCACGTGCGTTGTTTCCCTGTGACTAGTCCCTCCCACCAGGGAAGCATGGAGAGACGCAAGGAAACCACGAGAAGCAGGGAAATGAGTTTTAAGAGCAATGGGACGTCCTTTCCTCCGGAGCGTCACGTGAAGCGACGTCCGTTTGTGATGACGCTGCACAGCTGATCGTCTGACAGCAGCCAGATCAGTGCATGCGCTGCATCGTCCAATCAGTGAGCGATACACATTAAGGGGGCGGGGCGAGTGTCTGAGGATTTCACCGGAGGATGGTCTGGTAGTTCCTCGATTATCGCTCCTCCGTTATCACGCCTCGATCCTCGATCCTCGGTCCTCCGGCACAAATAAGGCCACTGGGACGCTACTCAAGATGGCGCAGACAAATCAACTTCCGGTGATACCGAGACCGAGGAGCGAGGAAATGAAAAATAAGAGAAGTGAAACGCACCCTTAGTGTGCAGAGAACAAGGAGAAAAGCACTTTCATGGTCTTGTTATTGTTAAAAACAAGATGTAATACATCTGTACTGACACACCTTTTTAAATTGAATTCATTAAAGTTTCAAGATGAAGTAAAGATGGTGGATCTGCTTGTAGAACAATACATGTATTCAATGGATGAGACTACAACATTCCTTATCATCTAAAAGTTTGTATTCATATGTTATATTTTTTATATTCCCTTCATTACTAACAATTTTAACACAGAAAAATAATAACACAATGCCTTTTATTTCCAGCTTGTTAGAGGCAAAAGGAAATAGAAAATAAGGAACGTATTGATATTAGTGCGTGCAAAAAGGTAACATGGAACACAGTAGTAGTTATGTGTAATCAGCAGGTGTGATGCAACTCTCTCCTGTATTTACTTTCTTGCAGGATAAAGACATCTACCTCCTGGATGATCCGTTGGCAGCGGTTGATACGGACGTGGCCGAACACCTGATGAAGAAATGCATCATGGAGCTCCTCAGGGGAAAGACCAGAATCCTTTGCACTCACCGTGTAGAGTTCGTGGACAAAGCTGACCTGGTGGTGCTCATGGACAACGGAACGATCATCAAGACGGGTAGAGAATAACATCTGGCTCAAACGGGCGGAAATGTCACATACCATTTTTTTTTTTGTTGCATTGTTTGTTTTGTGCTAGTTTGTTAGGGTTTAACATCAAAAACAGGGAAACTTCCAGACATCTAAGATAATTTAATAACATTTTGCCACATAAGTTTGAAAGACAAAATGCATGGTGGTCCATTTATGCTTCAAAATAACAGCAAGACACAAATGCAATCATGTGGTGCATGAGGTCAAGAGGAATAAACAGCCATGTATTGTTAATTAACATAGAGCATTTCCCCAGAGAGGTAGAGATACATCTACATTCAGGGTTCCTACGGTCATTAAAAACCTGGAAAAGTCATGGAAATTCAAAATGCTAATTCCAGGCCCTGGAAAACAATATATAATTTATATTTTATCTAATCGCCGAAATAGAAATACCATAATGATAATAAATACTGTATCGTATAGTAATGAAACGTAAAATGGCATTTAACTGACGAGGTATTTTGCTGGTGAGAGATTTTAGTTGCTTTAGCGTGTAGAAGCTAGTAAGCCTATTTGATTTGTTTTAGATAGGCACAACATGTTTCATATGCAGACCTTATTTTCCTGTTCCATGTTAAAATAAACCATTTTCAGTGGTACCGCTGAGAAAGAGTCATGTTTTTGGTCATGGAAAATGTGGTCATGGAGAAGCATTGGTAAAAAAGTGTATGAACCCTGTACATTATAATCACATCATTTTCTACTAACTTGTTTAATTGAAAGGCTTTAACAAAATTGGAACCTTCATTTTGAGACATGATTATAAAAACTATAAAGAAGTATAAACATCATTGACTAAATCCTATAAATGCTGCCTGGATGTTTTCACATTTCAAGGATATTTTCTAATGGTTTAATAGTCTAACTTCACTAAGAAAGCACAATGTTTTTGGAAAACTATCCCTATTTGTATTCCACCTGCCCTGTTTCCTTGCTGTCCATCAGGCACACCAGCAGAAATCCTTCCTTTGGTCGAAGCAGTGCCGAAGAAACGGAAGAACGCCCAAAACATGAAGGAGAAAGGTTTGTTCACCTGGAGATATAACTGCTTATCTTAAAGGAAACCTATCATGCTATATGTAAATGATATATTGTAGGGCCATACCTATATAAGGTATATTTATACGTTTCTGTTTTCAAAATACCAAACAGATCATGCATTTTAGCCATGCCTCATTTCGCTCTATGTGCTGTTTGCTGTCTACGGGTCTGATTCTGCTGACCACGCCCCCCTGCAGGAGAGGGGAGCCGTGCTCTGATCAGCTGCTGGGCTGTCAGAAGAGGGGGAGAAAAAGAGATCTCCGTGTTTTATTATATAGAGTCGTTATTCATTTGTTTTAAAGCTCAATAAATAACAAAGAAGACCTTTGACCGGCACTTTTCTAATTTTGTCCGGAAGATTTCAACTTTAACGGACATCTTGACCGGCGAAAGTAACTGAAACTGAAACTCTGCCGCACGGTCCCCTCGTTCCTTGGAAGAGGCGGAGAGGTGGGTGTTTGTCATCTGCTGGTGGACTAACCGGAGAGAATTACAGTGCTTGCCTCGACGGGGAGGGATTGCATTGAATTAAAGCAGCGGGAGCAAACGCTTGCCTCGGGGAGGGAGAAAGAAAGCCACAGCGGAGAATAAACAGAAGGGTAACCAAGGTAACTATGGGCGGGAAGTCTTCTTCACTGCTTTTGTGGCAGACTACAGCGTCACTTACAGGCCTGGCATATGTACTACAGCGTCTCCAGCGCTTTCGAACGGCAATGGCCGTGGCTGTCTCCTCCTGATTGGTGGAGAGTTGGCCCAATAGCCGTAGCGCTACCGTCCTGACGTCAGGACAGTGTTCAAATCTGGATCAGTTTTTATCAGATCCGTTGCAGCCCCTTTTTCGAGATTTGGGTATGGAGGAAAATAGAGAGGGTTGTGTTTTCTGACACTTGGGTTGCGTTCGAATACTCCAAAAAAACAGCTCCTAAGTTCTAACCCTATCGTCTATTCCTTGACCTCTGAGTGAAACGTCACGGGGTTAAGGGATAGTGGATAGGAGAATTCAAAAGGATTTAGGAGAAGAGACTGCGGCACTTTAGAGAATCCGACAGCACTTTCACTATCCGACGTGTTTATGATGCGCCAGCGGACGTCATAAATGTGCGTCTGCTGCTGTGGGGAAACTATGGAAACTACAGTTTTCTATACAGCGGACTACAACATGGATGTTTAATAAGAACGAGGGACTACTGTAAACTCATCTAGAGACTCTGCACCGTGCTCTGATGCTGTTGTTTTATGCTTTATGAACGGGGACAACAGAGAAACATATTCTTCATGACCAAAGTTGGAATTGAAATAAAAAAGGAAAGTGCAACTTATGCTCGTCACCCTCTCCCTCCGGTCCACATTAATACAAATGATCCCAATACGTATGATTGTATGAAAGATCTTAAAATCAATACAAATGTATTTATTATAAACGTTAGTCCTTAACATCTATCACTGTGTATATCACCATTCAGACATCTTTTAAAAGTTGAACAAACCCCACACAGCTCAGTAAAGACTGTGAAATGTTGACTTTATTTGATCATTTCAGTAAAAACTAACGTTCATATTTCTCTTTTTGATTATAATACTGATGAACGTTCAAAACAAAGCACTTTGGCAACTTACCACATACGTTTTAAAATGCTTAATAAGCACCGTAACTTTCATGATATCATTTCTCGTTCATAATCGGTTGTTTCCGTGGACGGCCGACTGTTGTGTGACGGCAAATGCCGCGGCCGCAAGGCATTGTGGGGCAGCATTTTCTCCTCTCCTTTCGGTTAGGGAGGTCCAGTGGTTCCTAAACTAAAGGAGGTTATAAAGGAAGTTTGAAACCTCCTTTCCTTTTAATTTAGAGAATTCGAACGGCACTTATCATGGCTGCCACTGAGGGACTTCCGGGTCATTTCACTCCGTTAGGAAGGTTCCTAAGCTAAATGGACTATTCGAATGCAACCTTGGTGAGTTCCCTGGAACACCGGGGACACATATTCATGTAGAAAAGACGTACAAAAGTGCATTTTGCATGATAGGTCCCCTTTAAAGCAGGGATGTGCCATTACAGTGCCAACACGTTTATTTGTTATCAACAATCTTGAATTGAAACATCAGAGGCAGACTGACTTCCTCTTATTTATGAATATGTACATGGATAGTTGTATTTGTTTATTGGTGTATTTCAAGCTATCGTACATGCAGGATTCTTGCTGTTCTGTATCTTCAGTAATTGATTGCACTTATCGCTGCTTTGATACAAGTGTCAGTTTAATCCAAAGTAATTCATTGTACTGTATATGTTTCCTTGTGTGGAAAAAAAAGAATGCGCTTTGGCTGTAAATGTGTTATAATAATAATAATAGATTACATTTGTGTAGCGCCTTTCAAGGGACCCATGGCCGCTTTACATGGTGAACAAAGAAACAAAAGGGGCAAATAATAAAGTAACAATTGAATAAATAGCAGTAGGAGTGGAAACAGGGGGACTGTGATGGGTTAGGGGTCAAAGGTGTTGCCTTTACCTATTCATCCAGGCTAGTATTCCTACATTAAAACCTGTTTGTTGTCACTTCCTCTCTTGTTTTTCAGCAGAAAGTGAGGAGCAGGAGGAGGATTCTGGTTCCTCCCCTGATGTGGTTTTGCAGGAGGAACCGGACCTGATGGGGGCGGAGCTGAAGCAGGAGGGGGGGCTGGCCTGGAGGGTCTACTGGTCGTACTGGAGCGCTGTGGGGGGGGCGCTGGGAGCCTCCATCCTCCTGTCTCTGCTGCTCATGCAGGGTGAGGATCCTCCGCTCTGATTGATCTGATTACAAGGAGCATGCTCAGATAGGACTGGGTGATATATGGAGAACATCAGAAATTGTTAGAAAAATATCCCTGGTCACCGGCTTGAGCTTCAACATCAGGATCCATGTATTTCTGATCCTCTCCAGAATGGAAGTAGTCATCACATCCAGAGCATCAACTAGTTCCTGAACAGTGTCCTTCACATGCTGATATACAAGAGAGGGAGTTACACAGTCACAAGATGGAGGAATACCGGTTATTGTAGGTAATCATACATCCTGTCATCTACAAATAACTGACTTCTTTCTCCAAATTCTGACTTTTTCTCAAAATCTCCAAATTCTGACTTTTTCTCAAAATCTCCAAATTCTGACTTTTTCTCAAAATCTCCAAATTCTGACTTTTTCTCAAAATCTCCAAATTCTGACTTTTTCTCAAAATCTCCAAATTCTGACTTTTTCTCAAAATCTCCAAATTCTGACTTTTTCTCAAAATCTCAAAATTCGGACTTTTTCTCAAAATCTCAAAATTCGGACTTTTTCTCAAAATTCGGACTTTCTCTCAAAATCTCAAAATGCTCACACAGTCACAAGATGGAGGAATAGAAAGCAGTATTCAATGTTTACTTCAGATTAGCTCCACGTCAGAAATGATCATGCTTGTCATATGTCTATCTCCATAGAGGCTGAATCATCATGTTAATCACATAGCTATCATATGCCTCAAACAGTCCTGATGCTCTTCTAGGTAATCATACATCCTGTCATGTACACAGATACAGTTGGGATACCTTTGTTATCATACTCTCATATTTGAAGAGGACATTCAGTATTTTCCCAACAGAAATCACAATATTATTTTACCCTGATATCAATATTGTGACACTTCATTGCAAAACACTTACTTTACACTTTTATCGTTCAGTATCTTACCAAAAGACAATTATTAAAAATAAAACATGTTAAACAGCAGGGGGTCTAACAGCTGACCCTCTGATTGGACGATATTGTGGGATTGACTACTGGTGCTTTCATCAAAAACTTTACATACTAAGATTTATGTATGTAATGTAGATTTTGTGGGGGAAACTTCTGAAGCAATTGGAGTCAGGACTTCAGAGAGACACGAGGAGAGCTGGAGCTTTGATGGTAAACACTGAGGGTTTATTTGGAGCTTCGGCCGGAGAATTCACAAGACATGTCACGGGCCACGGTCTGACCACACGGATGAGATGCCACAATCAATTCTGAAGACCCCTCCTGTAGCTCGAGGTTTGAACTAGTTCAGAGTGTAATAATCAACATTCTTCAATAGGTAGACTGAACAGCTGAGGACACTGAATCACATTTGTTGTCGCTTATGGCTCGGGGTCATCTACACCCCGAGAAGGATGTGTTCCAGGTGTCCCACAACAATAACTATCTCTGAGCGAGAGTTGCCCGGTCACAAACTGGTAACAACAACAACTTGCTAGGGCAGCCCCTCCTTAAGGGAGATGACGGCTGCTCAAGGCTGGAGCATCTGTGTCAGAGGGGGAAGGAGGACATGCAAGGCAAATTATTCCCCAACAGATATAATGACCTAGTGGGTAAAGACAACATAATTCAAATGAGATCACTTGCGATATTATTATATTACAATATCCAAAATGTACCAACATATCTATCGTCTCACAATATATTATCAAATCAAATCAAATCAAGGTTTATTTATGGAGCACATTTAAAAGCGATTTTTGGTCGGGCCAAAGTGCTGTACATGTAATAACTACAATCACATAAAAACACATTTCTATAAGCACAATAAAAGACAATAAATTACAACAGATATTTAAAAAGAAAACACAGGGAAAAGTCAGGAGTCGTGCTCCGCTCTGACTAGAAGGCCAGGGAGAAGAAGTGTGTCTTAAGAGTAGATTTAAAACCCCCTAGGGTCTGGGCCGACCTCACATGGAGGGGCAGAGTGTTCCAGAGCCTCGGGCCAGCTGCTGCGAAGGCTCGGTGCCCTCGGGTTTTGAGCCTGGTCTTGGGCACTATCCAGCAGCAGCTGGTCAGCAGACCTTAAAGCTCTGGCTGGGGTGTAGCGCTGGAGGAGTTCAGCTATATAGGCCGGAGCCAGCCCATTTAGTGCTTTAAAAACAAATAAAAGGAGTTTAAAATCAATTCTGAACCGAATTGGAAGCCAGTGCAGTGAGGCCAGAATTGGGGTGATGTGGTCACGCTTTTTGTGGCCAGTGAGTAGACGTGCAGCTGCGTTCTGGACTAGCTGCAGGTGTTTAATTGACGCCTGGTCCATACCCACGTACAGAGCGTTGCAGTAGTCCAACCTCGAGGTAACAAAGGCGTTAATAACCCTTTCCAGGTCCTCAAACGATAAAAACGACTTAGTCTTGGCCAATAGTCGTATTTTAAAAAAGCAGGTTTTGACTACGCTGCTGACCTGCTTATCGAATTTAAAAGCGCTATTGAAGGTCACTCCAAGGTTCGTGACAGAGGGGAGGATATTATTTTTGAGGGAGCCCAGAATATCAACCTGGGAGGCTAGAGGTTGGGGTCCAAAAAAGATAACCTCAGTCTTGCTCTCATTGAGGTTGAGGAAATGTTGGCTCAGCCAGGATTTGATCTCTGCTAAGCAGTCCATCAATAGCTGTAATGAGTTAACATTTGAATTGAGAGGCAGATAGATCTGTACATCGTCAGCGTAGCAGTGGAAGGGGATGTTGTGTTTTGTGAGAATTGAACCTAGGGGCAGTATGTACAGTAGAAAAAGGATGGGGCACAAAATCGAGCCTTGGGGAACCCCACAGGTAAGAGGGGCTATGGCTGAGGAGAAGGCACCTAGCTGCACTGAGAAGCTACGGTCTGTCAGGTAGGACCTGAACCATGCATTGCCCTGCTCGACTCTCAGGAGCTGCTTCTCTTGGCTTTGTCTCTACTGAAGCTGAAATGTTGTGATTCTTCTTGTGATGCTCCATGTTTGTTGTGTTTCAGTCTCTAAGAACGTGTCTGACTGGTGGCTCTCTCACTGGGTCTCTGAGCTGAGGAACAACGGATCCTCAGGAACAAACGTCTCCCGCTGCTCGTCTTCCTTCAGCTCTCCTCACCTGCTGCTCTTCTCACCTGGAGGCCTCATGTGAGAGATACAAGCAAGACCATTTGATAACACCAGGTTTACACAATATCGCTTTAGAGCAGGGGGGTCCACTCCAAACCTTTTTCACCGAGGGCCACTTACAGAAAGATATACGAAGGGCTGGGTCGCTCACTAGAGGTTTATTGCCTCATAAGTTCAGTTATAAGTTGGAAAAGTTAATCAAATGTAGGTCAATTATTCTTGATACTTGAAAATGCTTTAAGAAAAAAATCACAGCTCTCCAGAGGGTTTCATTGATTGTGTTAGCAGCTCATTCCTTAAAACAGAAGCCTCTGATTGATTATAATAAGAGGAAATATGAAGGGTGTATTTCAAGGTTGTTATGTAAATGTGTTATTGGGCTTTTTCTTATCAACTAAGACTTGTTAGAAAATGTTTCCAACTTTAATTGACTGATTTTATTTGAAAACTGGGCTTACACATGAATACTGTGTGATATATTTGAACATAATATATTTAAGAAGTACAATTATAAGACAAGCAGAAGTTTATTATACTTAAGTCATTAGTCATTATACTTTTTGAATTTGCTGAGTGAGTGCCGATTCAAAATGGTCCGCTGGCCGCATTTGGCCCCCGGGCCCTAGTTTGGACACCCCTGCTTGAGAGCAAACTCAAATGTGCCTTTTTTTTTTATTCAATAAAAACGAGTTTAACCAAAACAAAAACTGTTAAATCCAGACAGTACATTTGTTTTCTTTAAGCACATTTGTATTAATTTTGACCCCCCCCCAAAAAATTACCCCCTAAAAGGCTCCCCTCACCTGGAGGCCTCATGTGAGAGATGCAATCAATACCATTTTTAATTGGAGTTGAAAACACCAGGTTTACACAATATCGCTTTAGAACAAACTCACACACGTGTATCCTCCGCAGTCCTAAAATCCCCACAATGCTTTGCGCACGGACCAATTTTCAAAATCTTTGGCAGAAATCGCGCTCCATTTAAGGCACGGCCTTATATGACCCACACCTGCTAGCCTGTTCCACCATTCTTCGTTTTCCGAGGCTAGGAAGGATTCTTGCCTCGCTTCTGAAGGACCTGATTATTATTATTATGTGGATCTTTCTATTCTCTGATATCTTTAAAACCTCCCTCCCCTGCAGGTCTCCTCTCTCCTCGGTACAAACGCTCCCCTCCAGTAACATCAGCTCTGAAGTGAGGTTTTACCTGACGGTGTACAGCTCCATCGCAGCAGGGAACACCGTCTTCACGGCGCTCAGAGCGTTCCTCTTCGCTTACGGAGCGATCTGCGCCGCCACCGTCATCCACAGCCGCCTGCTGGACAGCGTGCTCAAGGTGAGAATATCTGAGCAGTTCATAAGTACATATTTACTCAAGTACGGTACTTAAATACAATTATACAGTACGTTCAGTATTTCTATTTTCTGCTACTTTGAACTTCTACTCCACTAGTATTACTTTAACCTTTGATTATAAGCATAGGCATCAATAAGTGTAATACAACAATATCATGTATATATTTTCTGAATTGGGACATTTTCTTTCAGCAATTTCTATAAAAACCAGCACACATGAATCACATGAGGAAAAACTATTTGTAGGGGTGTAAAAGCTAGACTTAACTGAATTACTGTCCATGTGTCGCAATATGTTGGGTTAGTTTTTAGAAAAAATGTAAAAGTGTGACGTGTTTGAAAATCTAAGAAGAAAGGATCTCAGTTCTTACAGGTTGTTGAGACCGTAACAGAGAATAACAAATAACTATTTGAGCAGCATAATCTCATCTTCCTCTCCCCCTCCTCCCCCTCAGGCCACGGTCTCGTTCTTCGACACCACCCCGATGGGTCGCATCCTGAACCGTTTCTCCTCAGATCTCTACACGGTGGACGACAGCCTGCCCTTCATGCTGAACATCCTGCTGGCCAACGTGTTCTCCCTGCTGGGCATGCTGGTGGTGATCAGCTGGGGTCTCCCCTGGGTGCTGCTGCTGCTGCTGCCCCTCGCTCTGATCTACCACCGCACGCAGCGCTTCTACAGACACACGTCCCGAGAGCTGAAGAGACTGAGCAGCATCACGCTGTCGCCCGTCTACTCGCACTTCTCCGAGACGCTGAGCGGCCTGGGGACCATCCGGGCCAGCGGCAGCTCATCCAGGTGAGAGGGGGGGCTTTTTACAGCCTTATTAACACTTTCATCTAACTATGAGCTCGTATAGTTTCCATCAGCAACTTAAATACCTCTATAAATGGAAAAATAAAAAGATAGTTATATTGACAACTTTTAAATTATTGTTAATAATAACAATAATATTCAATAATACTAGTTTACTTATTATTATTGTTAATAATAATACAACGACAATAAAGAAATATATATACAACAAATAAATAAGTACATTTTTAGAGAGGATGCTCCAAATAAATAAGACATCAAGAAACTGAGCGTTTAGACAACGTTTTAAAGTAAAAAAGCAAAGTGATCAACGTCAACGTGTGTGTGTGTGTGTGTGTGTGTGTGTGTGTGTGTGTGTGTGTGTGTGTGTGTGTGTGTGTGTGTGTGTGTGTGTGTGTGTGTGTGTGTGTGTGTGTGTGTGTGTGTGTGTGGTGTGTGTGTGTGTGTGTGTGTGTGTGTGTGTGTGTGTGTGTGTGTGTGTGTGTGTGTGTGTGTGTGTGTGTGTGTGTGTGTGTGTGTGTGTGTGTGTGTGTGTGTGATACCTCTCACTACCACCGGGGGGAGACAAAGTGTAATGTCTCACTCTGATCACGGTCACAGAGTCAGAGTGGTTCTGTTGTTGCAGGTTTGAGGAGGAGGTGTCTCATCGTCTGGAGCAGAATCAGCGCTGTTTGTTCCTCACTGTCGCCGCCATGCAGTGGCTGAGCATCCGCCTGCAGCTGATTGGTGTTGCCGTGGTTACGGGCCTCGGAGTGATCGCCGTCGTGCAGCACCAGAACAAATCTGTGGACCCAGGTGAGTCTGCTGCACTGCATTGATTGAGATGTTTACAGTTTAGAATTGTTTATTTCTACTTTTTTAATTTCTCTTATGAGTAATGCTTTGTCTTTGATGCCGCTGCAACGCAAACATCTCCCAAATCAGGATCAATAAAGTACATCTTCTCTTATCTTATCATTCAGAGGGTTGTGTTTTTTAAATTGTACAATTATTCTTGACTGTGAAATCAACATTTCTCTAGTTATTGTTTTGTTATTTGTGAATGAACAGGTATCTTTAGGTTTCCTCATGGTGATTTTTCTTTAGTTGGTTAATTAAACATTTACAGGACCCAAATTATAATCAGCCCCTCTCCTATCCAAGTTACAGTATAGCACCACAGTAGTCCTTAAACTAGCCTTACAAATTAAGATGATTATGTTACTATCCTGTATGTATCAGACCTAAAGTGTAGTTATAGGTTTTACTACTGTCCATGCTGCAAATATATGATTTATAGTGTAAACACCATATTTGTATTGTGTTATATACCTTTCCCCATACTGTACTATATACCTTACTGTATGTAATGTTCATATCTTACTATGTATTCCCGTACATATATTAAAATACTCTACTCCAAATACCACTTTTGGTCAGATGCTCAACTGCTTTTTCTTGGTTCAGTACTTGTATTTTTACTTTTTACAACCGTCTATCCTGTATATATCTGCTTTATTTCTACTGCATTATATACCTTACCCTATACTGTGCTATATACTTCCCTGCATATAATGATGATATCTCACTGTTTATTCCCATACATATGTAAATATACTCCACATCTGGTTATATGCTAAACTGCATATCGTTGTCTTGGTACTTTTCCTCTATGCAACTAATGTAATGTAATGTAATCTGTGTGTCTCTCCAGGTCTGGTGGGCCTCTCCCTGTCCTACGCCCTCTCCATCACTAACCTGCTGTGCAGTCTCATCGACAGCTTCACTCAGACGGAGATGCAGCTGGTGAGCGTGGAGAGGACGGAGGAATACTGCAGCGGCCTGCCCACTGAGCCCCAGCAGCACCACTCACAGGTCAGACGCACACACACACACACACACACACACACACACACACACACACACACACACACACACACACACACACACACACACACACACACACACACACACACACACACACACACACACACACACACACACACACACACACACACACACACACACACACACACACACACACACACACACACACACACATTGAACCATGCAGTGTTGGTCACAGCAGAGCATGGCTCTGTAAAGGTCTTAACATCTGATCTGAGGGGAATGTCTTGTTGTTTATTTTTAACATGTGATGTGTGCCATTTTGTAAAGCACTTTTGAGATACACGTGCTGTTTGAAAAGTGTTATATAGAAATAGCTTTATTATTATTATTATTATGTATTTACTTTCATGCCCATGTTGTTCCTCCCCTCCTCCTCTCTCTTCCCTCCCTTCCTCCTCTCTCTTCCCTCCCTTCCTCCTCTCTCTTCCCTCCCCTCCTCCTCTCTCTTCCCTCCCCAGCTCCCCCCTGCCTGGCCCCATCAGGGTGGATTAGAGCTCCACAATGTGGCCCTCTCCTACAGAGAGGGTCTCCCCAACGCTCTGGACGGGGTCAGCATGGTGGTCCGACCCGGGGAGAAGCTGGGCATCGTGGGCCGCACCGGCTCGGGGAAGTCCACTCTGTTCCTGGCTCTGTTCCGCATGGTGGAGCTGGACCAGGGACACATCCTATTGGACGGCCTGGACATCAGCACCGTGGGCCTGGATCAACTCAGGTAGGATCACTGGAGCTGCTGATACACTTTCTCTTTTAAAGGTCACCTATTGTGCAAAACTTAGTTCCCAGCACTTAGTGCCCCCATGGAACTAAAGAGCAGATCGCGTTCACACCGGAATAAGTTCCCTGAGGGAGGATTAGGCAAATGAAGCCGCTGACGTCACTTCTTCTTCTTCTGCTTTGGGTTTACTGGGAGGCCGCAAACCACTTCACGGCGTATACTGCCACCCGAAGTCCCCGGCCGGAAGTCCCCGGAGTTGGGGACTGGCTTCAGTAGAAGCTGCTGGGATTCCCAGCAGCTTCTACTGAAGCCTTCAGAGTAAATCGCCAGAACGCCGACATCTCCTCAACTCCACCACTTCTTTTGTGTTGCCATGTTACGACCCGTCCTCTACCAAGTGGTAGTGGCTCGTGGGAAGACCCGCAACATAAAATAAACCACACAAAACACGCAGCACTTGTCGGCGAGCATTTATTAAAGCGCACCGCCGTTACTCACATGTGCCCACCGGCAAACGAACCACGTCTGGAGGACGGCAAAAGCATACACCTCCTGTGCTTTACCCGTGAGAACGCACTGCAGCATAACGGTCCACATATTTTTAGGCCATTTCAACGTGGTTGCTACCCGTTCAAAAAGGATAATATAATTGTCAACATCTTTCTCGTGAAACACCGGGATAAATCGAGTATATCTACCCACGTCAAAGTCATGTGATTGTGCCGAGTCCAACTGCTGAGTGTGGTGCGATAATGCCGTCAACTCCAGCTCCTTTAAACGAAACAACCGATTAGTCTCCTCCTCAAGTTTCCTGATTTCGAGATTACAATCGATCTCCTTCTCTCTCAGTTTATTGTCAATCTCCTTCTCTCTAATCATCAGTTTACGCAACTCCAGCTGAAGTTGAAGCTCGCTCATTGTCGGAGAGACCTCTGTCTCCTCGTCTTTGGGAAAACCAGCAACGCCCCCCTCCTCCTCCGATAACACTTCCTGCTCTACCAGCGCAGCCAACAGCTGTTCTTTAATGACCTGTTTCTTGCTTTGTTTACTATACGGAACGTTAAACCTGCCTGCGATTAACTCCAGCTGCTGTTTGTTACAAGCATCAAACTTCCCCCGAGTTGGAACCTTAGCAAACTCCTCCAAGTCAAAATCCATACTAACGTGAAACTCACCCGAACCAGAAATCAGGTAGACTATTTAGGCAACTCTACACTGCACACAAACAAAGCACATGCTGTCAAGGGCCATTCTACAAAAGAAAAACACCGGCACCTGCCCGAGACAGTCTTTGGACGAGCCCCCATATGTTACGACCCGTCCTCTACCAAGTGGTAGTGGCTCGTGGGAAGACCCGCAACATAAAATAAACCACACAAAACACGCAGCACTTGTCGGCGAGCATTTATTAAAGCGCACCGCCGTTACTCACATGTGCCCACCGGCAAACGAACCACGTCTGGAGGACGGCAAAAACAAACAAAAGAAGAAGGGGGCCTGGGCCAACCAGTCCTCTGGCCGTAGGACCCAGAGCTTCCCTCCCCTACCCAGAGATCTAACAAAACCCTACGGGTAAAATAAAGCCGCGAAAACCTATACTCCCAGATCCTCCAGAGTACACATATTGCCAAATTAACACAAAGGATCTACAGATCCAAACAGCAGAGAGAGATTGTCCTCGGACGGAGTCTTCCGGCATAAGGATCAGGAGAGAGATCTCTTCTCCTCCAGCTTCTCCTTTTAAGTCCCCAGCTGAATGGAATTAGGACACCTGGGGGAGGCGGAGCCAGGGGCGGACCAGGTGTACCTGCGCAGCAGAGAGACAGAGAAGACAACAGAAAAAGGGAGCACGTAACATGCCATAAGTTAGTCTCTCTGCGTTTGTGCGCGGGGCTAATGCTAATGCTAATGCCAACAAAACTTTTCAGAGTTTTACGGGGCGTGGTTTGCAATTCGCCCAGCCAATCAGAAATTTGAACTTTTTTTCTCCCCAGGAAAGTACCACCTCTCTAGCAGGGACTAAAAAGGGGGGAAAAGTTCTCTTTACTAAGTTCTCTTTTTGGTGTGAACGCAAAATCCCAGGAACTATCGGAACTAAACGGGAAAAGTACTCCGGTGTGAAAGCGCATTTTGTGTTCTTTGTAACCAAATATCTCTCAGAGGGGCGTGGGGAGGGGCTCCTTATTTTCATCTAAAGTAACAGAGAATCAGCACTTTGGAAACAGGGCTGAAACAGAGGGGATTATGGGATGCTGCAATGATCTGTTTGGTATTTCAGCCAATCAGAGACATGTTCTGTATATATCTGAGACCTGGAATATATTGATGAAAAACAGGATAATAGGGGACCTTTAAAGTCTTTCATTTTTGTAAAGCACTTTGAATTGCCTTGTGTTGAAAAGTGCTATATAAATAATCTTGCCTTATTTTACAAAGTGTACATTGACTCTTCTTCTGTGGTGGCGCCCCCTGCAGGTCCCGGCTGGCGATCATCCCTCAGGACCCCTTCCTGTTCAGCGGGTCGATCAGAGAGAATCTGGACCCGTGTGAGCGTCACTCTGATCATCAGCTGCTGGACGTCCTGCAGCAGTGCCACCTCAGCGCTGTGGTGCTCAGGATGGGTGAGGGGAGAGAATATATATTTATCTAATATATCATATCCAGAGAGGGCACAAGTACACACATCCTTTACTCAAGTAGAAGTACAGATACTCGTGTTTAAAAATACTCTGGTAAAAGTAGAAGTACTGACTAAACTTCTTTACTCAAGTAAAAGTAAAGAAGTATGGGCTTTGAAATGTACTTAAAGGGGACCTATCATGCAAAATGCACTTTTGTACGTCTTTTCTACATGAATATGTGTCCCCGGTGTTCCAGGGAACTCACCAAGTGTCAGAAAACACAACCCTCTCTATTTTCCTCCATACCCAAATCTCTAAAAAAGGGGCTGCAACGGATCTGATAAAAACTGATCCAGATTTGAACACTGTCCTGACGTCAGGACGGTGGCGCTACGGCTATTGGGCCAACTCCACCAATCAGGAGGAGACAGCCACGGCCATTGCCGTTCGAAAGCGCTGGAGACGCTGTAGTACATATGCCAGGCCTGTAGGTGGTGCTGTTCTCACAGAATCTGCCCTTGCAAAAACAGAGCTAAAAAAGTGCAAATTGAGCGAAATGAGGCATGGCTAAAATGCATGATCTGTTTGGTATTTTGAAAAAAAAAAAGTATAAATTTGCCTTATATAGGTATGGTCCTACACTATATTATTCAAATATAGCATGATAGGTCCACTTTAAGTAAAAAGTACCCATAAATACCATCTGTTTTAAAGAGTACCTGACCTCCCTTTATATCAATAGAACAATAATGTCATTGTTAGCTAATGAATGTTTCCATGCTGAACAACGGCAACATGACAACGTTTTCATTGGTCCCTCTTCTTTAGAGAAGACCAGGAAATGATGGATACACGGATCGTGTTCAAAGCAATAGGCACGCAATGACTCTAAATAATAATGATCACGCCACCAAACACACATTCAAACTAAAGGAACCAGCCTGTTTGGAAAATGTGAGAAGTAGAAAGTACAGGTATTTGTGTTCAAAATGTAAGAAGTAGAAAGTACAGGTATTTGTGTTCAACATGTAAGAAGTAGAAAGTACAGGTATTTGAGTTCAAAATGTAAGAAGTAGAAAGTACAGGTATTTGTGTTCAACATGTAAGAAGTAGAAAGTACAGGTATTAGGGTTCAACATGTAAGAAGTAGAAAGTACAGGTATTTGTGTTCAACATGTAAGAAGTAGAAAGTACAGGTATTTGAGTTCAACATGTAAGAAGTAGAAAGTACAGGTATTTGTGTTCAACATGTAAGAAGTAGAAAGTACAGGTATTTGTGTTCAAAATGTAAGAAGTAGAAAGTACAGGTATTTGGGTTCAAAATGTAAGAAGTAGAAAGTACAGGTATTTGTGTTCAACATGTAAGAAGTCAAAGTAAAAAGCCGTCAGAAAAGTAAGTAGTGGCGTAAAGTACTGATACCAGAAACATGTACTTAAGTACAGTAACTAAGTATTTGTACTCCACTACTTCCCACCTCTGGTCATATCCCAATTACTTGTATATAGACTCTCCTTGCACTATTTTAACTATTATTTCTGTGTTATTGTGTTGCACTGTTGGAGGAGCCTGGGACCTTTCATTGATATTTATACACTGCAGCTCTGTGCACATGACAATAAAAGCCTTGAACCTTGAACCTTGAATCTTGAATATAACCAGGGAGTTTCAAGATTCAAAGGTTGTATTGTCATATGCACAAAGCTACAGTGTAGAAAAGGCAAGGACATTATTTTGACCTGAGCTCCTCCAACGATGCAACATATATAATATAATACAAAAATACAAATTAAAAGTAGTGCAAGAAGTCTGTATACATGTAAATAGAATATGATATGTACAAGAACAGAATATGAAATTAAATAATGTACATTAAGACACAATTAAATACGTTTTTTAATATTTAGATAACTATTTAGATAATAGTTAATAATAATAATAAAGCTTTATTTATACAGCACTTTTCATACAACACATGCAGCTCAAAGTGCTTTACAGAATGACACAAAAATACACAACAAGAAACTCCCCTCAGATGATTTGTTAAGAACTTTAAAACTTACATGCAGCAACATATAACATTTGATCAGGTTAATAGACACAAGGAGGCTAAATGTATGATAATAAAATAAATAATGGTTTCTCTCTGACAGATAAGACACAAGACAACTGAGTCAATGCAACAATATAAAATATCAAATGAATAATGAAGTGAATATGGGATGAGCAGCTTATTAACGCGAGGCGTGTCTGTTTTGAATCCATTCAGCTGACTCAGGGCCTTTTATTTCTCACAGTGCACTCCACCCTCCATTATTCCTGTCAGGTAACACCAGCTTTAATCCTCTCAGGCAGATTGTTCTTAAAAACATCTGAAGGAAGGGTGCACCCAGGAGAGGTGACACAATAACACAGCGTGACTGATCATGTTACATACAATCAAGCTTAGAAGTCATATCAACCTTAGATTTGGTTGTTTATTTGTATTAATCTCATATTTCTTTTCAGTAAAGAGGGGTTGAGAGGAGAAGACTTTAATCTACTATCATGGACTATAAATAAAACAACTTAACGTTATGTCAAGCTTGAATTAAGGAGTCTTTCGTCTAAAAAGCAACATGTAAATGCTTCCTATTTGCACGTATGTAAACCAGGCTGATGCTCACCTGATGTTTCCTCCTCAGGCGGTCTGGGTGCAGAGGTTGGAGAGAGAGGGAGGAGCTTCTCTGTGGGTCAGAGGCAGCTGCTGTGTCTCTGCAGAGCTCTGCTGACCCAGGCCAAGGTGAGACCCCCCCCCTCATCATCATTTTGGGGAAATTGTATTTTTTTTGTCACGGCTGGAGGGCAAATGCAGAAAATTGGTTGAAATCAAAAATATTTTATTTGCGGAACTAGGCCAGGGAAATAAAAGTAAAACAAGGCAAGGCAAAACATTAAATCGCTCAGAACAAAATCCTTCCAACGACTTCAAGACTCTCACAAAGACTGAAAGAGAAACCAGAACTTAAAGGGGACCTATCATGCAAAATGCACTTTTGTACGTCTTTTATACATGAATATGTGTCCCCGGTGTTCCAGGGAACTCACCAAGTGTCAGAAAACACAACCCTCTCTATTTTCCTCCATACCCAAATCTCTAAAAAAGGGGCTGCAACGGATCTGATAAAAACTGATCCAGATTTGAACACTGTCCTGACGTCAGGACGGTGGCGCTACGGCTATTGGGCCAACTCCACCAATCAGGAGGAGACAGCCACGGCCATTGCCGTTCGAAAGCGCTGGAGACGCTGTAGTACATATGCCAGGCCTGTAGGTGGTGCTGTTCTCACTGAATCTGCCCTTGCAAAAACAGAGCTAGAAATTGTCAAATTGAGCAAAATGAGGCATGGCTAAAATGCATGATCTGTTTGGTATTTTGAAGAAATAAAAGTATAAATATGCCTTATATAGGTATGGTCCTACACTATATTATTCAAATATAGCATGATAGGTCCACTTTAAAGGGGACCTATCATGCAAAATGCACTTTTTGATGTCTTTTATACAGAAATATGTGTCCCCGGTGTGTCGGGGAACTCACACAGTGTCAGAAAACACAACCCTGTCTCTTTTTCGGGGGTAAACACTTTTCAAATTAAAACAGGAAACCAAAGACAGATCTTGACGAGATAAAATAAAACAGGGAAAACTAATACGGATCATAACATATTTAGTAGTATCACTGTTCATGTTTTATTGTTCAGTGATATAACTCTTTCTGTTTGTTTATACCCTGTTTTTAATTATGTTCCTCATTTCTTATTGTCATTTTTTGTCATACTCTGTAAAGCACTTCGGGCTGCGTCAAGCATGAAAGGTGCTATATAAATAGTTGTATTATTCATTATACTCCTCCAACAATGCAACATATAGAATGAAATACAAATAAAGAATAGTGCAAGAAGTTTATATACATGTCAATAGAAAATGTGAAATGAAATATTGTACGGTAAGATTAAATTAAATACGGTTTATTGCGGTGATAACTATTTAGATAAATAAGTAGATTGCAAGATGACAAACAGATGAATGTTTATCGGGGCACTTCACAGAGTTCAGGTAGTCGTATTGCCTGTGGGATACTTCACCTCTTGTATTTGTTTACAGTGCAACCAAACGAGTCTTTTGAAAATGAAGCCTTTAAAGATGTTTTCCACGACGCCACAGGCAACATGACTGGTTTCATGATGCACACGATGTGATGTTTGTCACACAACAGCAGGGCAGAGTGGAGTTTTGTAGTTATGCAAATCTAAAAGGTCACTGCGGTTTAATTCTCTTGTTCCTGCAGTGTTTAAAAATGTTGAAAAATGACCTAAGTTGAATGCTTTTAGTATAAAGCAGCAGCAGGAGAGGCAGATTGTATTAACAGTAACTTAATCCAGCTCTGATGATGCTGTCGGAAAGTGAATATTAAATGACGCTGATATCAATGAGATCAAATGAAAACACTCTGGATTACATGCTTTATGCTTCTCTATGAAATCAAAACCACAGTATATTAGAGCTGCAACTATTCTATTCATAGTTCAATGTTATAAAATGATTTTTATAGTCTGGTACCTGAAAAAGGTGAAATGGCACTGATGGAACCAGATGTGCCCAAATGTGAACAAAGCTTAGTCCGCCTGGACTTTTTTTCCCTAAATATCTCTAAAAAGGTCAATTTTCACTTGTTTTGCCTCAATCTTGATACAGGGTACTTATTATATGTTATACTTTGGATTCCTAAAGCTTTTAGGCTACTAACCCATCATGCAAGGGTGGTTTTCACTATAAGTAATGTTTTTTTGTTAGGCGGAGGTAAGAATTTACACTTTTTTACTATGTTCCATCTGAATTCACTCTGACACAGAAACATCTATATTGATTCTGATAAGTCTACATCCATCTCACAGATGTAACCTTGCTTTGAGAAAAAAGATTATTAATTTAACCCTTTTAGAAGTGAAGTTATAGTCATTTGTTCTGGGCATGTCATTTTCGAGCCTGAAACCCGAAAAACAGGCTTGGGGTCTAACAGGTTAATAGTTTCTATTATTGTTAGGAAAATATTACGACACCGGGTTGAGAATCAATAGTCAGGTACTAATTTATTCTTGCAAGAAGGAGCAGAGTTAAGTCACATACAAAGGATATGGTTCAACTCACACACATGAGGTATGCTGCTCAAAGGAGCAGGAAGTAACATCAAGCTTATATAGTCTAAAGTCAGGAGGTACCAAACAGTGTCGTAAATCGGTTTGGCGTCATCAGGTGTCGGGAAGGTGTCGGGACATCTCTGGAAAGGCAGTGTTGCTCTTTGCCCCTCAAAGAGGAGAGGAGACAAAGTGTGTGTGCTCTCGTTGGTATCAACAACATGAATTATGCCCTGCCTTCTCCTATCTACGAAGAGGCAGCTGCAAGGTCACACACACCATCAGAAAACCCATAATAAAGAAGACACCTTGTATTTTCTCCAACAATTATTTATAGAGAGAAATACTTACCAAATAATCTCTGTTTTCAGTTTCTTAAATGTGAAAAAGTGTCTCAACTGTACAGTATATTGATGTCTCTTTTTGGACTGTTTGTCATGGAAAACAGAGCATTAAGTGACGTGAAGACATCTTTTGGGAACTGTGGTAGTTATTTTCTGCTGATCCCCGATTATTTACACCCCAAAAAACGACTAGATTAGTCAAGAAGAACATCAAGTATGTGATTCAATAATGAGAATAATTGTTGTTGCCCTAAAGCAAAAATGTAATGGCTCAATAAACGCTGTCGAAAACAGGGTCTGATTTTATGCAAATCTTTTGGATTATGACTCAGTTTATTGCCGCACCCTTTCTTGGTAATCTTCCTTCTATTTTTATCACACTGACGTTTGTTCTCACAAATAAAACCTGATATTTCTTCACGGTTTTAAAGCCATTACACAATCACACACTGCACACCTCCAGTTGTTACAAGGGTAATCCAAAATACACACAGTCATTTCATCACTGCTGATCTGTATTTCGTGCCGCAACTACCAACACCTAATCTTCATCAACAGTATTGGACACAATGAAAGCAGCACACAATGCAATTCAGTTCAGTAACCCTGCAGAAAAAGGTGTCCATACTGTATGCATCATATATTATTGATTTTTACTGAATGAACCTCTGACACAAGTACAGTGTTTTGTGTGTCTCTCTTTTACCATCTGTCCAGGTTATTCCACATTAATGCTGTAACTTCTGGTTCTAATAAAACACAGAATTAATGTGTTTTCCTCTCATGCAGGTCCTGTGTATCGATGAAGCCACAGCCAGCGTGGATCAGAAGACGGACAAACTGCTGCAGCAGACCATCAGAGAGAAGTTTCGGGACAAGACCGTCCTCACTATCGCACACAGGTAGACGTTTTTCCTAAAATCCATGCCAATTTGACCCCTGAGTCAAAACTAAACAGAAGAAAGCCAAGTGTAGTTATTACGCTCCATATATATGAGCATAAATTAGCATCATAAGGGCTGCCTCGACAAAGAGCAACAGGATTTGTATATTGGATGTTTTAATATTTCAGAAAATCAAACAAATGTTTATGACACTTACACATACTCAGCAGCATAATCTCCACATATTAACACCACAACAAGCTAATGTTGGGCTATAAAGGAACTACAGCACGGTCACATGACTTCACGTCACCACCGCTAAGCTAAAGGTGGCTAATGTTGGGCTATAAAGGAACTACAGCACGGTCACATGACTTCACGTCACCACCGCTAAGCTAAAGGCGGCTAATGTTGGGCTATAAAGGAACTACAGCACGGTCACATGACTTCACGTCACCACCGCTAAGCTAAAGGCGGCTAATGTTGGGCTATAAAGGAACTACAGCACGGTCACATGACTTCACGTCACAACCGCTAAGCTAAAGGCGGCTAATGTTGGGCTATAAAGGAACTACAGCACGGTCACATGACTTCACGTCACCACCGCTAAGCTAAAGGTGGCTAATGATGGGCTATAAAGGAACTACAGCACGGTCACATGACTTCACGTCACCACCGCTAAGCTAAAGGTGGCTAATGTTGGGCTATAAAGGAACTACAGCACGGTCACATGACTTCACATCACCACCGCTAAGCTAAAGGTGGCTAATGTTGGGCTATAAAGGACTGACTACAGACTGAGCTACTGCCGCCCCTAAGGCTTTGATCCAGTCTTTCTTTGTCGAATAAAAACCTTAATTTAAACGGATCTTTTTATTAAAATATGCGAAAAAAACATTATTTTTTGTATTTGTGTGTGCAGGATCAACACCATCATGGACTGCGACAGGGTGCTGGTGATGCATGCTGGGAAGGTTGTGGAGTTTGACACCCCGGCCGCTCTCTGCCAATCAGACGACTCCATCTTCCAGAGGATGGTCGGTTAGAGAGAGTGAGACGGATAAGAGACACTGAAAGAAGAGAAACAGCTTTATTTGTATAGTTTTTTACCTTGAATAGCTTCCTGGAAACTTCCTGCTTTCTTCAGCTCCGTCCTGATCACAAGTGTTGCTGCTTTTTACTGTTTCTGCAGAGAAATGGGGAATTTCCTGCTCCTTTTTGGACTTGGAAGCAATGAGCAGTGCGTTTATGATCCTATTTTCTTATTTCCAGCTGAAATTTAGTTTCTTTAAAGTGATTATTGTAATACGTAGGTTTCTTACAATTGAATTGTGAGGAATTTAAGGTCCTTTATTATAATTTATTTACATTACCATTGCATTTTTTCTAATAAAAAGTGCATAAAAACTGAAAATCCGAGTTGAAATAGATTCTTAAAATAGTTTTTTATCAATATTGTCAAATCTCACATAAGCAGGGTGACCAACCAATCGACAACACATGTATTTATCATTTTATTTTTATTTAATTAATTTAATTCTCATCTTTTGTTTTGTATTTTTAATTGTTATTATTCGGTTTTATGCCTTTATTGTTATTTGTTCTGAATGAAAAGCAGCTGCATTTGATGAATGTTAATGATAAAACCATAAAGGTCAACCTTATTAACATTTATCGTAAAATCACAAACTCACACGTTTTGGACGACACTACAATTTTTATAAGTGTGTGTTTTTTTAAATTTCGAAACCACACGGTCTTTTTTATAACCAGAGGGCATGTTGTCACAATACATTATTTGTCTTCTCTGCAAATAATTGGCCGTCAGTCATGGAGAATATTTACTCTTCCTGGAGACAGAGTTTAAATCCTTCAGTGTGTTTGTCCTCTCATGTATCCGTTATAAACAACTGTCATTCACTTTTTACAAACCTGTGTAAACATCGAAACATTTATCACCCTGACGGTTTTATACTGTAAAAACATGTTTAAGGGACATGAATAAACGTTCAAATAACGGTTGTTTTCATCACCTCATTAAAGGTTTTGTCTGTAAAACGTCCAGAAACAGTGAAAAATGCCTGTGTGCCCAATTTCCTAGATACACTATGACAACATTAAATGGCTAAATTCACAAAATAATCATTTAACTATAATCAAAAAGATGGTTTGAGAACCTAAAACCAGTGTTGTAGTCAAGTCACCAATTCACGAGTCCAAGTCACTCTCGAGTCCCCACTCTTCGAGTCCGAGTCCAAGTCCGAGTCACCCAAGGAGTGTCCGAGTCGAGTCCGAGTCATCATTACCTGTGTTCGAGTCCAAGTCCGAGTGTCCGAGTCGAGTCAGAGTCCGAGTCATCATTACCTGTGTTCGAGTCCAAGTCCGAGTGTCCGAGTCGAGTCAGAGTCCGAGTCATCATTACCTGTGTTCGAGTCCGAGTCACCCAAGGAGTGTCCGAGTCGAGTCCGAGTCATCATTACCTGTGTTCGTGTCCGAGTGTCCGAGTCGAGTCAGAGTCCGAGTCATCATTACCTGTGTTCGAGTCCGAGTCACCCAAGGAGTGTCCGAGTCGAGTCCGAGTCACCCAAGGAGTGTCCGAGTCGAGTCCGAGTCATCATTACCTGTGTTCGAGTCCGAGTCACCCAAGGAGTGTCCGAGTCGAGTCAGAGTCCGAGTCATCATTACCTGTGTCCGAGTCCAAGTCCGAGTCACCCAAGGAGTGTCCGAGTCGAGTCCGAGTCATCATTACCTGTGTTCGAGTCCAAGTCCGAGTGTCCGAGTCGAGTCAGAGTCCGAGTCATCATTACCTGTGTTCGAGTCCGAGTCACCCAAGGAGTGTCCGAGTCGAGTCCGAGTCATCATTACCTGTGTTCGAGTCCGAGTCCGAGTCACCCAAGGAGTGTCCGAGTCGAGTCAGAGTCCGAGTCATCATTACCTGTGTCCGAGTCCAAGTCCGAGTCACCCAAGGAGTGTCCGAGTCGAGTCCGAGTCATCATTACCTGTGTTCGAGTCCAAGTCCGAGTGTCCGAGTCGAGTCAGAGTCCGAGTCATCATTACCTGTGTTCGAGTCCGAGTCCAAGTCATCGTGCGCGAGAATTCACGAGTCCGAGTTGCGTCAATTAGTGCGCAAGTCCGAGTCGAGTCACGAGTCCCGAAAAATCTCTCTGCCTAAAACCATTTAATATTTTTGCATTTTTGCTAAAAAAATGACTCCTAACAATTAATAGATTATCAAAATATCTGACAATTAGATTTATGTCAATCAATGTATGGCTGTATTGAATATGGCAGCCCTTATCTTAACTTTATATCACTACATCATTACATTACGCATGATTTATATGTGATGCATTTAATGTAATCCTCTATAAATCATTTGGAAAACATTTATCTTGTTGTGGTTTTGCTCTTTCTGGTTTTGACACCCGTGTTGTTTATAATTGCTGTACCTTTTAATACATCAGTTTGTTTTGTATTAAAAATAGCCGTCACACCTGTTTCATGTTCACCAGGTTAGCCTGAGTGAAGTTAATCTCATCAAACATCACAGTTTCCAGGTAGAGTTACGCAATGAGTGTGTGAACGCAACTGAAATCTCTCTTTTCTCTCCACACACGCACACGCACACGCACACGCACACGCACACGCACACGCACACACACACACACACACAGTGTTCAGAGTGAGTCACACCGTGTGCGCCTGCCACTCCCTTTGGCTCAGGTCAGCATTTTTTCTCATGTTAACACGTTTATCACGTTGTCAAGGGGAGTGTTTGGGTTTTGTTTTTCTGCTCCGTGCTGATTCCTGAATGTCAAGGTTTCAACAATAATGCCTTAAAATGAGTGGGCTTTTCACAGACAAAGAGACATATGGAAGTGCAGGACAAAGAACATACAATACAATACATATCATGCTTAAAGGCTCTGACTATACGATGTCTTCACCTGAGGACAAAAGGCACTTATTATTTGTGCTGCTTTATAGACTTCAGTATTTCTTAGGGAGAAATTGTACTTTTCATTCCTTTACATTTATGTGACGGCTTTATTTACTTCACAGATTCCAAGTATTGATACAAAAAATAAATGACCTATTTAATTTTCCTAAAACGCCTCCATTTGACTCCTTTGTTAACTTCCTGAACATGGTGACATCATTATGAAACACTCGCGTTCCTATTGGCTAGCGCTCCAACACATTGTACGTGATAGGCTAAGGGGTGGGACATCTCTAAGCGGTTGACCAATCACAACAGAGCCGGCCAGCTAACCAATCAGAGCAGACTGGGCTCTGGTTTCAGACAGAGGGTGAAAAGAGGTGCTGCAGCACAGGCAGTATGAGAAAAATAAAGAGCTTTTTGAACATTAAAGTATGAGACATGTCACAGTAGAGGCAATAAATACGTGTGTGTGTGTGTGTGTGTGTGTGTGCGTGTGTGTGTGTGTGTGTGTGTGTGTGTGTGTGTGTGTGTGTGTGTGTGTGTGTGTGTGTGTGTGTGTGTGTGTGTGTGTGTGTGTGTGTGTGTGTGGAACAGATGTGTTAACGTATAAGTGGGTCAGAGATACAGGTTGTACTTTTGTCTGTTGTGGTGTGTCTCTGTGTTTTATGCATACAGTAGGCTACGAGAGGCAGGGCGTGTTGTTGTCGTCCGGGTGTGTTTGCACGAGGGTGTGTGTGATGGGAACGTGTGTGTGTGTTTTGACAGCGACTGACGGAGAGACATTTAATGTGGAACAGGTTTTTCTGCTCCAGATGAAGGTGCAGTGCTCCCGCCTGCAGCTCCCACTCTCACTCTCAGCCGGCAGAGCAAACAGCATGGACTCATAGAGCAGAAACTCCTTAAAACAACTTCAGCAACACGGAGGATCAAACAGCTGCCTGATGGACCCAGAGGTCAGTTTCATTTATCCATCTTCCTGCGTGGTTGTACTTAAGGTGGAGAGCTTTGGGTGACAGCGTTTGGTTTCAGGTGACATCTGACAGGCAGTTTCTGTCAGGGCTCATCTTGACTTCTTAGAGAAATTGTGGGAAAACGTATTCTTCTTTGGTGCTCCTAACTCTCAATGCAAGACTTCAACTAGCAGGCTTTTTGTTTCTATGAATGGTTTTATTTTATTTCTTGCACACAGTTTATTTTCAGCTTTTTGTACTTTCTCTAGCCTATATTAACGCTCACTTTTACTAAGGACAACCTAAAAAAAAGACTTGTTTAAATGAAAAGTAATCATAATAATAAAGCTTTACTTGTGTAGCACTTTCCATACACAGGATGCAGCTCAAAGTGCTTTAAAAAATTCAATTTAAGTCTAACGTTTAAACCTTTTAGCAGACATGTGTTCGTGATATATTACATTACATTACATGTTACTTGTTAGACGCTTTTATCCAAAGCGACTTACATACACATATATAAGCTTTCAAGGAATACAAGGAGGTAAAATAGGCAAGAATGTACAAAATATATATATATATAAACAGATAACCCACTTAGTTAAACCAGAAAAGACATAGGAAAAAAGGAATAAATGCATAAAATAATTAAAACAATACAAATAAAATAAAATAAATATATATCATAATGATAATAATAAGATGTTTTTTGTCATTTAAAAATGTCCACTTAGTTGCTCTGCTCCTGAACACTAGTTTGTGTTGCTAATTAAACTAAAGGAGTATTTCTGCACTTTGGCTTATTGTGAAATGTGTAATACGTAACTTATACGTAGTAAATCAGCTGCCTCCTTTATCTCAGAAGTCATTTAGGGCCAAGTGTGTAATATCATCTAAATGTGAATAATCTGATTGATGTTAGTGTTTGATTTTGGTCTTGAAGACGTGGTCGTTTTTAATCAACTCGTACAGAAATAACAAAATGTAAAACGACTGGGTTCTGAACTACACACTATTTTTCGTTATGAAGGACAGATTTTCTAGCGTATATTTAGTGTTTTGATTGATTTAAATCCTGGCATTGTTGTGTCTTTTTATATCATTGTATCATTACAAAATGGGTGTGCAAATGTTGTGGTTCACAGTTGTCTTGTTGGAAGAAATGTTGACTAGATTGAGATCTTAAACACCTGATACAATATATATTTAAGGAAATCATGCTCTATATTTGAGTATAATTTGACTTAAAAGGGATGGAAAATGATTGGCTGCCATGTCATTCTAAATTATTTGGAAATAATCACATTGGTATTGAGATAATCCTGCGAAAAGCATGTTTGTATCGTAAAATATGTGTATTTATTGATTTACTTATTTCCTAATAACATATAATCTGTGTTGCTTTAAACCCTAACAATCTGTGTCGATGGTGAAACAATTCTGCATTTGTTTTAAAAACGTATTAAATATATTTTACATTGGGCCGTTAAGATGTTATATTTAATACACTTTTATTTTGATGTTTGGAATTAAAACTGCAGTTAGGGTTTGGTTAGGAATAAAGCTTTATTTATTCACACGTGATTTTACATAATTTTCCGATATCCAAATAGAACATAATGTCTCTTTATTTAGTGGAAGTCTGACAGAGTTTTTTTTAACTTAAAGTTGTGGGTGTGGTCCCTTCTGAATGTGTGCTTTTAAAAAGGAAACACCCAACAACAGACCTCTTGTTCGCAGCTCTCCCGATTAACCTGTTCCTGGTTTTCCACACAGCCATATCGCAAGTACCTGAGAGATGCACCTGCTGAGATACATGGGGGTGTCACTATACTGTACATACATACAGTCAGACATACAGTCAGAGATACATACATACATTCATACATACATACATACAGTCAGACATACATACAGTCAGACATACATACAGTCAGACATACATACAGTCAGACATACATACAGTCAGACATATACATACAGTCAGACATACATACATACATACATACATACATACAGTCAGACAGACATACATACAGTCAGACATACATACATACATACATACATACATACAGTCAGACAGACATACATACAGTCAAACATACATACAGTCAGACATACAGTCAGAGATACATACATACATTCATACATACATTCATACATACATACATACCGTCAGACATACATACAGTCAGACATACATACAGTCAGACATACAGTCAGAGATACATACATACATTCATACATACATACATACATACATACATTCATACATACATACATACAGTCAGACATACATACAGTCAGACATACATACAGTCAGACATACATACAGTCAAACATACATACATACATACAGTCAGACATACATACAGACATACATACAGTCAGACAGACATACATACATACAGTCAGACATACATACATACATACATACATACATACATACATACATACATACATACAGTCAGGCATACATACAGTCAAACATACATACATACATACATACAGTCAGACATACATACAGTCAGACAGACATACATACATACAGTCAGACATACATACATACATACATACATACATACATACATACAGTCAGGCATACATACATACATACATACATACATACATACATACATACATACATACATACATACATACATGCATACATACATACATACATACATACAGTCAGGCAACATGTACTCCTACTGTACTGGATGCTGCTTTTTAATTGAGGTGAAACTCAAGTTATGCGATGCAATGAGAGTTTCATAGTACATAGTATTTATCTTGGATTTAGAAGCTCTTGGTATAATGAAAGAAGATATAAAATGGCAACATGAACAGCTGTAAAACCTACTTGAATGACTCTAAATGTCAATTTAAAGCATGCTTTTAAATGGAAAATGTGTGCAGATATGAATTTCTTCAAAACAATATGCATTTTTAAATAATCTCTTTTGTTTCTGCTGTTAAAACGTTGCTTTCTGAACAATATCTAAAAAAAAAACGTTGTGTTTCCCAGATATTAAATTGTTTGGTTTGCTAAGTAAATACGCCCCACCCAAATATTTCTTTCATGATCTTGTACTTTTAAAGGTGTGCTTGAAAATGCGGTTAAAACAGACTGAAGTTTCCCAGAGTGGTGCATTCAAGTGCTATTGGAAAACATAGCTTCTTAGTTGGAATTTAGAGCAAAAGCAATGTTTTTTTTTCCAGCCGCTTGTGTCATGGATTGATCAAAAACATTCCCGACCCTTTAGAAACCCTGCAGTAATACAGGTGTTGTTATTTTCTACCAAGACAAACATGTACAGAAACGTCATACATGCCTCTTGGTTTGAACAAATGTAAGAAGTACCACTGTAGTACACTGGTTGAGTAAGTACTGTGTAAGAATACACTGTTACAAGTCCTTTTTTCTTTAGTTAAAGTTAAAATATCAGCATCAAATACACTTAAAACTATTTTTTTTAAAGTACTCATTAATCAAAATGTCAAATTTCTCCCAAAAATGTATTTGTTATTTTGTTGAACTATTTGTCATTATAAAAAAAAAAATGCTTTGTAGCCTTATCTATTGTTATAAGTCAGAATGTAAAACTAACTTTACATTTTTGCAATTCTAATCAAAGTCTGCAAAGTAACTAAAACTGTCAAGTGTAGTAAAAAGTACATTTGCCTCCAAAAAGTAGTAAAGTAAAAGTAGAAAGTGGCATTCATTGGGAATTCCCAGTAAAGTAAAAGTATGTGAAAATGATACGTAATAATAACAGTAATTGAGTAAATACACTAAGTCACATTCCACCACTGCCATCACATGATCTTAAATGTGTCCCGGGTTTAATCAGCTATTGTTATTATGAAACTTTAACGTGTTAAAAATATAAGGTCAATCCCAAGCTGCACTGTATGTCTCAAGTTAAAAAAACAACTTGATGTCGTTGACTGAACATTTGCTTTTCTTCCATAGGTTTAATCAGAAGGGATTTTAATGCAGCTGTAACAGAGACACAGCAATCATGGTAAGAAACACCTTCATCTTCTTTCAGTTCTGTGATTAAAACGTTATATAACAGCTAAATGTCAGTTTAAGTGTTTATAGCTCAACCTGTTGAGGCGTGTTTTTGTTTTAAACACTTTATGAAATGTCTTTGTTTGCAGCCTTCACACCGCAGGGGAAGGAGTCTCTCCGACGCCCTGACCCTGGAGCAGTCGGAGGAGGGAGGGCTCATTGTTTCCAGCATCAACGACAGCGCCTCAGCCAATCAGGGGCTGAGGAAAGGTATAACCCTCCACTTGCTACTGAAACCTTTTTTCTCTGATTGTTTTTAAAGGTCACCTATTATGCAAAATCCACTTCTTCATGTCTCTTCTACATCAACATGTGTCCCCTCTTCTTCATGTCTCTTCTACATCAACATGTGTCCCCTCTTCTTCCTGTCTCTTCTACATCAACATGTGTCCCCTCTTCTTCCTGTCTCTTCTACATCAACATGTGTCCCCTCTTCTTCATGTCTCTTCTACATCAACATGTGTCCCCTCTTCTTCATGTCTCTTCTACATCAACATGTGTCCTCTCTTCTTCATGTCTCTTCTACATCAACATGTGTCCCCTCTTCTTCATGTCTCTTCTACATCAACATGTGTCCCCTCTTCTTCATGGCTCTTCTACATCAACATGTGTCCCCTCTTCTTCATGTCTCTTCTACATCAACACGTGTCCCCTCTTCTTCATGTCTCTTCTACATCAGCATGTGTCCCCTCTTCTTCATGTCTCTTCTACATCAACACGTGTCCCCTCTTCTTCATGTCTCTTCTACATCAACATGTGTCCCCTCTTCTTCATGTCTCTTCTACATCACCATGTGTCCCCTCTTCTTCATGTCTCTTCTACATCACCATGTGTCCCCTCTGTGGAAAGAGACTCTGAAAGTTTCAGGAAAAAAGATTCTCTCTCTTTTTGTCCTGATCCATTTATATAAAAACCTGTCTGAAAATGAGCACCATTGTGTTCTTTTTAACCAAATCTCTCTCAGAGTGGCGTGGGGAGGGGCTCCTTATTTTCATCTAAAGTAACAGACAGAGAATCAGCACTTTTGAAACGGGGCTGAAACAGAGGGGATTATGGGATGCTGCAATGATCTGTTTGTTATTTGGAGCCAAACACTTCAGAGACATGTTTTGTATATATCTGAGACCTATAATATATTGATGAAAAGAAGTACAATAGGGGACCTTTAAGCAATACATATATTTGCTTTTAAAGTTTAAACAGTTTTAACTCCATTCCCAGTTCAAGACCAACTTTGTGCATTTGACTCAAACCCTGTACGCTTTAGGCTGATTAAGCAGGAGACACTTTAAATGTGCAGTATTTACAGTTGTAAATGTTTATTTACATTTTTATAGCGCATTGAATGTAAAGCTCTCCTAAATATTTGTGTACAGAAGTATACACAATTTTACACCTTACAAAATGCATTCAAATTATAATGGATTGCACGATTAGGTCTCACTTGGTGTTAATGTCTGTCTACACACTTTGGTTGAAATACAACATTGCAGTTCTAATATTAAAGCTCCTCTGAAGACTATCAAATGTTTTAGAGGTTTGTTTTGCGACACAAAACCTAGTGCAAAGTTGTTTTGAATTTGACACATAGAGCTTGTTCATGTTCTGAAACAATCTACTGTTTAATGCACACTTGAATTTCGTTTTTCAGGGGATGAGATTTTGGGAGGCACAATCAATTTCGATCAGTTATCAAAAACGGAGGTGTTAGAAGTGTTGGAGCTGATGAAGCCGTACGATGAGTTCCAAGTACTCACCAGGAACAAAATGAGCAAGAGCGTCGGAAACCTGGACCAGATAACAAAGAGTCCTGAGACGGTAGGTAGTCAAGTCAAACAAGAGCTCTTTAATGTTCATTTGCTAGAGAATTGTTACCTTGATGGAAACATTAAACTTACATTCTAATCACCAAGTTGTGGTTTGTATTTCCAGATGCTGAATGATTCTTACAACAAACTCTACAACAACAAAATCAAGAAGTTCATGAAGAGTGAGGAGGAGCTAAGCGCCAAGCCAACTGATCCAGGTTCGTCTAAGGTGGGGTTGCCTCGCCTTGGAGTTGACTTTGGACTTATGAAACCCAAGCCTCTGATCACAGACATTGATGATGATTCAGAATCTGATGAAGGTGGAGAATTAACATACAACAGCAATCTGAACCTTCCACCGCTGGGTTTTGGATCCAATGGGACAACTATAAGTGGAGCTCAGGTACCAAGACTGAAAGTTGATGCTAGAGGTCCACAGTTTAACGCTCAAGGCTTCAATGTGTCTGGATCATTACCAGAGGGTCGAAATCCTACAGCTGGTATACAACTTCCAAGAAATGGACATTTTAGATCTCCAGAAATGGGAATGGACTTAAAGGGTTTAGATGCTAGTGCCCCTGACATAGGGACTAACCATGGAGGGGGAACAATCACGGGTCCATCCCTTGACTTTGATTCTCCCAAAGTGGGCTTTGAAGGACCAAACAGAATGCCAAAATTCAAACTGCCAGACCTGGGGCTATCTGGACCCTCTTTTAGTAGCTCAGAAGGTGAGGTCAACACACCAGATATAGGAACCTCAGGTAAGCTGGGACTCAGGTATTCCAAGAGACACAAATACCCAGATCTAAATGTTGACAATCCTTCTGGTTATCTAGAGTCACCCAAGCTGAGGCTGTCTGGAAGACCTACTGACTTAGACCTAGAAATGCCAGGTGTAGATGCGTCACAACTTGATGTACATGGGCCAGACATTGACATGCCTTCAGGTAAAGTCAAAGTTCCATTTAAGAAACCAAAGATGAATCTGAGATCTTCAGATTTGGATGTGGATGCTCCCTCAGGCAAGGTTAAAAAGCCAAGATTTAAGGTATTTGGGACATTGCCAAAGAATAAAGATGTGGATCTGAATGCAGGGATGAAAACACCCGAACTAGCTCTGAGATCACCAAAGCTAAAAGGCATCGATGCACCTGATGTGAGTGTACCAAAAATGGATCTTAGAGCTCCAAATTTGGACCTCGACTCTCCAGATTTTGACATTGGTTCCCCCAAGGGGAAATTCTCAATGCCAAAGTTTAACATGCCCAGCTTAGACTTTTCAGGTCCAAAAGGAGGATTTGATGCATCTCTAGACAGACCAGACCTGCCATCAGGTAATCTTGATCTAAATGTGTCTAAGCCAGACATTGATGCACCTTCACTTGATCTGAAAGGTCCAAGGTCAAATCTGAAAATGCCTGATATTGGAAGTCCAAGTTTTAATATGCCAGATTTTGGATTGTCAGGACCAAAGCTAAAAGGGCCTGATGGTAAACTAAGGACTCCTGACTTTGATCTCACAGCCCCTACATTTAAGGGCGCTATTGGCTCTCCAGATTTGAATTTGCCCAAGATGGACCTTAATAAACCTAAACTAGATCTTTCTGGCCCAGACGTCGACTTTGATATGCCCTCGGGTAAATTCAAAGTACCAGCAATGAAGAAACCAAATATTAACTTGAATGCTCCTGACATGCATATTAATGCTCCCAAGTTTGATATGAACACTCCAGATGTCAACATCGGTTCACCCAAAGCAAATTTAAATATGCCAAAATTTAAGATGCCCAAATTTGGTCTTCCAAGCCTGAAAGGACCTGAGATCGATGGCAATTTTGATGGTCCAGACTTCGATATCAATGCACCTAATATCAATCTTAAAGGTCCAAAAGCTGAACTGAAAACACCTGATATGGATATATCTGGTCCTAACCTTCGTGGTGGCTTTAATGCACCAGACTTAAACATGCCAAAGGTTGACCTTAACACCCCGAAACTGAACTTTGACATGCCATCAGGTAAACTGAAAATGCCAGAGCTTCATGCTCCAGACTGGGATGTAAATGCTCCCTCAGGCAAAATGAAAATGCCTAAATTCAATCTTTCAGGTACACTACCAAAGGGACCAAATCTGGACATTGACACTGATCTGAATGCTCCAAAGATAAAGGGTGGATTTGATGCTCCTGACTTGAACTTACCAAAAATGAACCTTAAAGCTCCCAAGTTAGATGTAAATACACCAGATGTAAACATTGGTTCACCCAAAGCAAAATTTAAAATGCCCAAATTCAAAATGCCCAAATTTGGTAAACCAAGCCTCAAAGGACCTGAGATTGGCGGAAACTTTGATGGCCCAGATCTTGATGTTAATGTACCCAATGTCAACCTCAAAGGTCCTAGAGCTGACATGGAAATGCCAGATGTGGATATATCTGGTCCATCTGGAAAATTCAAAATGCCACATTTTAACATGCCAAATGTTGGGCTATCTGGTCCAAAAATAGATGGCCCTAACCTGGACCTGAAAACACCTGATCTAGACATATCTGGCCCTAACTTCAGTGGTGGTTTAAATGCACCAGACATTAACATGCCCAAGGTTGATCTTAAAACCCCCAAACTGGACTTCAACAGCCCAAAGTTGAACTTAGACATGCCATCAGGTAAACTGAAAATGCCAGAGCTTCATGCTCCGGACTGGGACATAAATGCCCCCTCCGGCAAAATGAAAATGCCTAAATTCAATCTTTCGGGAACCCTACCAAAGGGACCAAATATGGACATTGACACTGACTTGGGTTCACCAGATCTGAGTCTGAATGCACCAAAGATAAAGGGTGGATTTAGTGCTCCTGACTTGGACTTACCAGACATGAACCTTAAAGCTCCCAAGTTAAATGTAAAAACTCCAGATTTCAACATTGGTTCACCGAAAACTAAATTTAAAATGCCCAAATTGAAAATGCCTAAATTAAATTTTCCAGGCATAAAGGGACCTGAAATTGACGGAAACTTAGATGGCCCAGACATCGACTTGAATGCACCCAATGTCAACCTCAAAGGTCCTAAAGGTGATATGGAAATGCCAGATCTTGATATATCTGGGAAATTCAAAAAGGCCAATTTTAACATGCCTGATTTTGGTCTTTCTGGTCCAAAAATAGATGGCCCTAATCTGGACCTGAAAACACCTGATCTTGATATATCTGGTCCATCTGGGAAATTCAAAAAGCCAAATTTTAACATGCCTAATTTTGGTCTTTCTGGTCCAAAAATAGATGGCCCTAACCTGGACCTGAAGACACCTGATCTAGACATATCTGGTCCTAACTTCAGTGGTGGTTTAAATGCACCAGACATTAACATGCCCAAGGTTGATCTTAAAGCCCCCAAACTGGACTTCAACAGCCCAAAGTTGAACTTAGACATGCCATCAGGTAAACTGAAAATGCCGGAGCTTCATGCTCCAGACTGGGACATAAATGCCCCCTCCGGCAAATTCAAAATGCCTAAATTAAATTTTCCAGGCATAAAGGGACCTGAATTTGACGGAAACTTGGATGGCCCAGACATCGACTTGAATGCACCCAATGTCAACCTCAAAGGTCCTAAAGGTGATATGGAAATGCCAGATCTTGATATATCTGGGAAATTCAAAAAGCCCAATTTTAACATGCCTAATTTTGGTCTTTCTGGTCCAAAAATAGATGGCCCTAACCTGGACCTGAAAACACCTGATCTAGACATATCTGGCCCTAACTTCAGTGGTGGTTTAAATGCACCAGACATTAACATGCCCAAGGTTGATCTTAAAACCCCCAAACTGGACTTCAACAGCCCAAAGTTGAACTTAGACATGCCATCAGGTAAACTGAAAATGCCAGAGCTTCATGCTCCGGACTGGGACATAAATGCCCCCTCCGGCAAAATGAAAATGCCTAAATTCAATCTTTCGGGAACCCTACCAAAGGGACCAAATATGGACATTGACACTGACTTGGGTTCACCAGATCTGAGTCTGAATGCACCAAAGATAAAGGGTGGATTTAGTGCTCCTGACTTGGACTTACCAGACATGAACCTTAAAGCTCCCAAGTTAAATGTAAAAACTCCAGATTTCAACATTGGTTCACCGAAAACTAAATTTAAAATGCCTAAATTGAAAATGCCTAAATTAAATTTTCCAGGCGTAAAGGGACCTGAAATTGACGGAAACTTAGATGGCCCAGACATCGACTTGAATGCACCCAATGTCAACCTCAAAGGTCCTAAAGGTGATATGGAAATGCCAGATCTTGATATATCTGGGAAATTCAAAAAGGTCAATTTTAACATGCCTGATTTTGGTCTTTCTGGTCCAAAAATAGATGGCCCTAACCTGGACCTGAAAACACCTGATCTTGATATATCTGGTCCATCTGGGAAATTCAAAAAGCCCAATTTTAACATGCCTAATTTTGGTCTTTCTGGTCCAAAAATAGATGGCCCTAACCTGGACCTGAAGACACCTGATCTAGACATATCTGGCCCTAACTTCAGTGGTGGTTTAAATGCACCAGACATTAACATGCCCAAGGTTGATCTTAAAACCCCCAAACTGGACTTCAACAGCCCAAAGTTGAACTTAGACATGCCATCAGGTAAACTGAAAATGCCAGAGCTTCATGCTCCGGACTGGGACATAAATGCCCCCTCCGGCAAAATGAAAATGCCTAAATTCAATCTTTCGGGAACCCTACCAAAGGGACCAAATATGGACATTGACACTGACTTGGGTTCACCAGATCTGAGTCTGAATGCACCAAAGATAAAGGGTGGATTTAGTGCTCCTGACTTGGACTTACCAAACATGAACCTTAAGGCTCCCAAAGCTAAATTTAAAATGCCCAAATTCAAAATGCCTAAATTTGGTAAACCAAGCCTCAAAGGACCTGAGATTGGCGGAAACTTTGATGGCCCAGATCTTGATATTAATGTACCCAATGTCAACCTCAAAGGTCCTAAAGCTGACATGGAAATGCCAGATCTCGATATATCTGGTCCATCTGGGAAATTCAAAAAGCCACATTTTAACATGCCAAATGTTGGGCTTTCTGGTCCAAAGTTGGATGGCCCTAACCTGGGCCTGAAAACACCTGATCTTGATATATCTGGTCCTAACTTCAGTGGAGGTTTAAATGCACCAGACATGAACATGCCCAAGATTGACTTCAACACCCCAAAACTGAACATGCCATCAGGTAAACTGAAAATGCCAGAGCTAAATTCTCCAGACTGGGACATTAGTGCTCCCTCCGGCAAAATGAAAATGCCTAAATTCGATCTTTCAGGCAAATTACCAAAAGGACCAAATATGGACTTTAAAGCTCCCAAAATAGACATGAACACTCCAGATATCAACATTGGTTCACCTAAAGCAAAGCTGAAAATGCCCAAATTAAAAATGCCTAAAGTGAACCTACCAAGCCTACAAGGACCTGATATTGATGGAAACTTTGATGGTCCAGACATTGATATCAATGCACCAGATGTCAACCTAAAAGCGCCCAAAACTGACTTTGAAATGCCGGATGTTGGTTTTGGGAGCCCATCTGGACATTTCAAAAAGCCACATTTGAAAATGCCCGATGTGGGATTTTCCAGTCGAGAGTTCGATGGCCCAGACTTCGACTTTGAATCACCAGATCTTAATGCCAGATTACCAAAGGTTCCAAATTTGAACATAAATTCAGGCCTAAAAACACCAGATCTTAATCTCAAATCTCCAAAATTGAAAGGTGGAATCAATGTCCCCAAATTCGGATTGCCAAACATGGACCTTAAGGCTCCAAAGTTTGATATGGACACTCCAGATCTCAACATTGATGCAAAGTTCAAAACGCCCCAAATCAAGATGCCAAAGGGCCCCAATGTTGACATAAACGGAGGCATACCTGACCTGAATATCCCAAATGTCAGCGGTCCAAATGGAACATTTAAAATGCCAAGTTTAAACACACCAGACATGAATCTTTCAGGACCTAAACTGAAAGGCCCTGGTATTAATATGCCAGACTTAAATCTGCCTGATACCAGTTTCAATGCAATGCGTCCTGATCTAGGAATAGATGGTAACATAGGCCGACCTGACATGAACTTCAATGCCCCGAATTTCAAAGGAAGACTAAGTGGCCCAGACGTTGACATGAACATGCCCTCAGGAAACATCCAGGGTCCTCAGACTGATTTTGATATGGAAGGCAGAAAATTCAAACTTCCTTCTTTCAAGCTGCCTCAGTTTGGAGGTCCAGATCTTAATAGGGAAGGGTGCGATATTGACTTTGATGCATCTCTGAGATCCCCCCTGAATACAAAAATGAACATGAAACCACAACAGTTGATTGGGGATTTCACAGGCCCAAATGTTAGCTCCCCAAACATGCCGAAAGTGGCAATGCGGAATCCCCAAATGCATCTCAAATCTCCAGATTTTAACATGGATGATCCTTCGCTAAATTTTGGAGGACCTTCTAATATGAATCTCAGATCAGAAATCCCAGACATGAGAATGCCTGCACTGGATATAGATGGAGATGTCAGACTTCATCACAATGATAGACAGCTCCCGAGGACCCAAGTTAGGTCCAGCTTCCCTATGGTGGACGCTGGTTTTAACCCCCAGTTTGATTACAATCGTTCAGATCTCAACATTGATGATTTCACGGGAAAAGATCATGTACTTAGAGCCAGAGGTTCGAGATTGGACGGCCAGACACAAGGCAACCATGGACAGGCAATGTTCCCGTCAGGTATTAATCTTGACATGAGGGACCCCAGACAAACCAGAAGAGTTCCTTCTGGTGACATTCAAATACATACAAGGCCTAGATCAATGCAGCAGGTACCTAACACACATATGCCACAGTTCTCTCAGGATCCAAGGTCAATGCAACAGGTACCTAACGCACATATGCCACAGTTCTCTCAGGATCCAAGGTCAATGCAACAGGTAGCTAACGCACATATGCCACAGTTCTCTCAGGATCCAAGGTCAATGCAACAGTTACCTAACGCACGTATGCCACAGTTCTCTCAGGATCCAAGATCAATGCAACAGGTAGTTAATGCACGTATGCCACAGTTCTCTCAGGACCCAAGATCAATGCAACAGTTACCTAATGCACGTATGCCACAGTTCTCTCAGGACCCAAGATCAATGCAACAGGTAGCTAATGCACATTTGCAAAATGTCTCTCAAGATCCAAGATTAATGCAGCAGGTACCTAACGCACGTTTGTCACAGTTCACTCAAAATCCAAGATCAATGCAGCAGGTACCTAAAGCACGTTTGCAAAATGTCTCTCAGGATCAAAGATCAATGCAGCAGGTACCTTACGCACGTTTGCAAAATGTCTCACAGGATCAAAGATCAATGCAGCAGGTACCTAATGCACGTTTGCAAAATGTCTCTCAGGATCAAAGATCAATGCAGCAACTACATCACACACGTATGCCACAGTTCTCTCCAGATCAGAGAATAAGAGTACCTGACGGTTCAGACGGATACTACGTCACTAGTTTCCCGAACCAACCACAAAATCAAAGAATGCCAAATCGCAAATATAACACTCTCGGGGGGCCTAACTTTCGTCCACGAAACGTAGACCTAGAAGTTCTCGGACAAAATGACGTAAAAGGGGGGTCAACTTTCTTTTTTTCCAACCTCATATAGGTGTAAAAAAACAGGTGTTTTCATAAGCTGTTAAACATATTTCTATTGTGTGTTATTTTTGTATATTGGGGTTTATTTATTGTGAGTTCAGCTGTTGATTGTATGATTTATGCATATGTCAAAATGTATGTCTTTTTTTGCATATTTTACGTTTTTTATTTGTGTACAAAGCTTTGTGTAGGTGCTTTGTAATGATCCAGTTTACATTACTCTACAGCATCCTTGCACTTGTTTTATGTTGACGTTTTGTACACCTTTTCTTATTTGTACTATGTTTGTGCTTTTACTTGAAAAGCAGGTGGTCTTTCCATGTACATTGAGTTGAATGAGGCTCCTTAAATCCTAACAATTCCCACCTTTTTTTCATGTTAGATTTTGAAACTCAAGGAGCAATTTGTGGATTTCTGAGAACTATTTTAAGATAAAATGTTATAGGTTTTTTATATATTATATATTAACGAGATATTGAAATAACCAAATATGTGCATATGTTTATATTATACAGTAAACACCCACTTTATTTGTTATTGATTGGGGATGTATAGTTGAGTTTGTATGACCATTTTTTGTTCGACAGAGTTTTTGCTTTAAGGTTTCTGAGCATAAATATAATGAATGTCAATGACAATTATTCAAGATGCCTTTATATACTAAACTGTAAAAAACGGACATAAGCCATTTTATAAGTGACCATGAAGCTATTAAAAGTGTTCCAATGTATCCACCCTTTATCCTTTTGTTATAGCATTGCCCACAAATAATAAACAGAAAGAATGTGAACAGTATTTGTTTCCTAATTCATTTTGGCTTGCTTTGTTAAAAGGGAGCTAACATACTGTATGAGCTGTTTCATAATTAGTGCGACTGCTGTTCAACAGCATTCCACTTTTGTTCTTCAAATCCTTATTCTTCAATTTCTTCTTATTATTATTATTATTATTTCAGTTCTTCCGTACATTTTCAACTACTTCAGCATACTTTCAGATATTGAAACCATTCAAATATTAAAATGTTCAGCTCCTTCAGGACATGTGTAAATATTCAGCTTTAAAAACAAAGGAGGAACCTTCAAATCCTCTTTTACCTAGACCATGTGCACAATGCTACTCCTTCCACCTACTTTCAGCTATAGAGACTTCATTCCAACTTTAAAATGTGACACATCTTTCTGACATTATCCATATTACAAAACTTTCAAATCAGATTTATAGTTTTTGAAATATTTAACTTAGTTTGGAGCTTGGTAAAGAGGGCTTCTTCAGATTTTAACATTAGTGTGTATTGCGCCGCTCGTTAAGTCTTAAGTTGATCTCAAAACAGAGTGCAGGAGAGCCTGAAATTCGCCTACACATTTATTTAAACCTACCTTTTGTCCTTACGTTTAGTCCTTCTGCATCACCTTGTAGTCATTTTGCATACATTTGTAGTCATTTTGCATACATGTGTAGTCCTTTTGCATCACCTTGTGGTCATTTTGCATACATTTGTAGTCATTTTGCATCACCTTGGGGTCATTTTGCATACATTTGTAATCATTTTCCATCACCTTGGGGTCATTTTGCATTCATTTCTAGTCCTTTTGCATCACCTTGTGGTCATTTTGCATACATTTGTAATCATTTTCCATCACCTTGGGGTCATTTTGCATTCATTTCTAGTCCTTTTGCATCACCTTGTAGTCCTTTTGCATACATTATAGTCATTTTGAATCTCTCTGTAGTCATTTTGCATTCATTTGTAGTCCTTTTGCATCACATTGTAATCATTTTTCATCAATTATTAGTCTTAGATAAATGTTAATCTTCTAGAATGAAACATATTTCAGTGCCAAATTTAATTTCATAGACTTTCAAAAAGCTCCATCCCAAATACCTCGACATTGTATTTAAGTACAGAACCCGAGTAAATGTAGTATAAACACACACATACAACACAAGATCAGCAAAAATATATACTTTTTAATCCACTTAATGTTTTTTTCTGCAAATGTGTGAATTTGATCTCAGAGTTTTTAATAAACACTTTAATCTCAGAGAATGTTTTCCTTTTTGACGGTAAATGTAAAACTTTAATCTCGTAAAATCAAACCTGTGTCTGTGTGTGTGAGTTTGGTTTGTTGTTTCAGTATTTATTCAGATACAATTACACACAGATGATCCTTAAATAAAAAGCTCTTTCCAGAGTTAATGGGGAGTAGAGACATTTCCTCTGTGATCCCCGCTCCTCCCTTCCGGTTTTCTTCCAGAATCATCCTGGTTTCCTGTCGGTCTTAATCTGCACGTTACTAGATCTGACCTCAGTCCAACAACCGCATTACCGTATTATTTAGTCCCAACAGAGAGGTGCATGGAGGACGTATTTCTGTGTTGTACCCTGAAGGCAGCATATTATGCTTAACAGCGGTGTGTTATCGAGTATTAATAATCTCTGAACTGTCCGAAACGATCAATCAGAATCTAGTATTCAACTCACTCGTGTAATAAAGTTTATTAATATATAAATCCCTTACCCATCCCTAAGAACTCTTCATCCCTGGCCAGCAGATAACTCCCAGCACCATACTTTATTTGATGCAGTGCATACTTTTGAGAATTTCAAATGTATTCTTGTCTGTTCTATATAGTGTGCATTTAGATTTAGACATTTTACAGTGAATATGGATATTATTGCTTTAATCTTTATTTCTCTTCTATTTTACTCTATATTTTTTCTGATTTATTCTATTTAGTTTTTTTATTCCATTTTGTATTTTATTCTATTTTAAGATTATTTTGATTCTGTACAATGACTCCATGCTGCTGTGACAACCCAATTTCCCAATTTGGGATGAATAAAGCATCCATCCATCCATCCATCCATCCATCCATCCATCCATCCATCCATCCATCCATCCATCCATCCATAAATCCATCCATTTTGAAACTCTACATCAGATTGTCCTGATATTCTCTGAATGACTAGATGGGGTGTCCTGCTATCACCCTGGAGTGAAAATAGTCTTTGATTGACTTCGAATGACTCTTTGATTATGGACAGTTGCCATTAAATAATAATCAAAATATAGATGGACAATAGATCTAATTTGGGTTATAAGGAAAACACAGACCCTCATCACCGAGGTCACAATATCAATAGCCTATAGGCAAAACACAGAAGATCAACAAAAGATATGACATAAAATGAACTTACCAAAGCTGAAGTAGATGGTCAACTTCATTCATTTTCTTTCCGTTTTACTGATTTTAATCGCTATACGCTGCTCTCTCTCATCTCCTCTTCACTACAGGGTGAAAACTACACTTTTCGCGTCACACGTACTTACAGCCAATCAGCTCTCTGAATTATGAGATGACGTTTGGTAGGTATGTCAGCACAGTGCCCCTATGTTGATTATTTTTTTGCCGCACACATTGAATAGAAAAAGACTCTGAGCATGCGCAGTGTAGTTTTTACAGCACCCATTCACAGTGAGAGGGGCTAGATCGGGGCTAGATCGGGGCTAGATCGGGGCTAGATCGGGGCTTGACTCACATCGCGGCTCAATAGGTACACTGTAGACACTAATTAGAAGAACGCAGACTAAAACAGCAATGTACAGACGAATCAGATGATTAAACATGATCTTAAAATGTATTTTTTTTGCCTTTATTTGCATTTTTTTGGAATTCTTATTTGAACTACTTTCTGCTGACACTAGGTGGGGCTGTGCCCCACCTAGTGTCAGAGGCTGGCTTGACCGCAGTGGGGAACTGATGTTCAGGAAGGAGCTGTTCACTTTCAACGACTTTACTATCGTTGAAAGTGAAAGTTTTAAGTCAGACTGCCAGACACCATTTTACAGCTCGAAGGAGCAGGAGGAGGACAGCAACAGGGTGAGTGTTAACCAGTGGCGTCGCCTGGCCTGCCCCGAATGTTTTTTCTGTAGCCCCGGACAATTCTCCCTCAGGGGTGCACATAACTGGTACGCAGGTACGCAAGCGCGGCACAAATCTGAATTGCGTAATGTCACTTGTGTCACTACGCGCCTTTGTGTACCTCAACACATCAAAACAAAACACATATTTCGTCTATACGTGTTTCTTGTCAACACTCAATGTAAACTACTTGACATGTCAAAAAAACCAAAGACATTAAGCAGCTACGTTGCCGTTTCGTTCCCTGCTAAAAAAATCTTCGGACTTTCTATGACTGATTGAACTGGTGCTGGCCGAGCCGCGCAGGACATAACCGACGGACCTGTGAAGCTTTACACAAGAGGCAGAGAGGCTTAGATCACTGGACGACAGAGTTCACCGTGTGCACAGACAGGGTTAACGTCGGTATCAACAACAGAATTGTGCCAAAACTCCGCCAACTGGCTGCAGTGGGAGACTCCCCTGTGCACATTCTGTGCCCCGCCCACACACTGGAGAACTGCGCAAAATCAGCTGATCACAACGTTCACGCTCTGTGGTCAAGCTGCTGCAGTTTTATTTACAACAAAGTGGAGTAAAACACACAGTTGCAAACTTACTCAGGGTGTTAATGGAAGAGTTTGAAATTAGACAGAGGTGGAAGAAGTACTCAGATCTTGTGTAGGAATACTCTGTTACAGTAAAAGTCCTGCATTCAAAATGTTGCTCAAGTAAAATTAGAAAAGTATTATCAAAATATAGTTGAAGTACCAGAAGTAAAAGTAGTCATTGTACAGATTGGTCCATTTCAGAATAATATATATGATATGTACGGTGGCCCTGAAGTGCAAGACACCACAGCATTTCACAAAACACTACAGCATTTCAGAAAACACAACAGCTTTTCTCAGTGGTGTAGTGGGCGTTGGACGCGGGGGTACGCCGTACCCCCACTTATTTGGAGCATGATCTTTTTTTCAATTGTCTAATAAATATAAAATCATTGCCAGTGTTATCATTTGCAAGTGTGTATTTGTTGTAATAATGACAAAAACATAATACATTTCACAGTAATTATAATAAAAAATAAGAACGATTTCCTTAAAAAATTATGATATGTATATATTTAGCCTCACAATATAGACATTTTTAAACGCTAACTTTGTAAATAATGTTGCATGGCAAATGTAACGACACACATGGCCTGATTTGCATATTGGAACTTTATGTGTGCACAAGAACACATTTATATGTAAAATGAACACTTATCACAACATAATGTGGGCTCGCAGGCTGATAAACTAGGATATCAGAGGCCTGTACTACGAAGCTGGTTCAACCTAACCTGGATATGTTTGAGTTAGCCGGTTGGCCCAATCCAAAACATACGCGCTCTCGCTAAGCTGTACTACGACGCTGGTTATCAAGTGGATCGCTCAAGCCAGCCGTGTCCTATCTAGTTAGGTGCGCGTTCACATGAAAGGGGTGGTATTTGGAGCATTCGACCAATCACAAACATGGACAAGCGTACTGACAGCGCAGCGTCATACTTCCTGAATGAAAAGTGAACTTTAATATTAGTCAAATATGAAGAAGTTAAACTTTAAACATCCATGACTTAAACACTTTATCCAGGATAAAAGCCACATAGCTGCACCTGCAAGGTGAATACAGCTGGTAAAAGAAAAAGCGTTAGAATGCGTACATTAACTAAAATTAATTACATTTGACTCGAGTGTTTCGTCAACTTAATGTGTTGCTTAAAATAATACTTCTGCATACAGTATGTGACACTGTGAGTGTTGCATGGCCAGATACGGCTCAAGAAGCTGACTCAAACAAGGAAATATATGATACATTATGATGTGATATGATATGAATGATAATGGGAC